GGGAGGGGTGGGTGGAGCGGAGGTTGTTGGAAGAGGGTCAGCGGCAGGAGGGCGGTTTATGTAGTAGTGGGAAGATCGGGCAGAAAAGTTGCCGCCTGACGACGCGCAATGGGCGAATACGCAGCTGGCGTGTGTTGTGAGACGGACAAGCAGGCACACAGCCCACCTCGCCTTCCACCGCAGCTACTCCTTCCCCACGTCACCGCCAAGACCCGCCTCTCCCAGCGCCGCAGTATCTCCGATGGCAACATCAACACTTCTCTTACATACAAGGACAACCTAGACCAATATGTCGATCACCATAGGCACGCCTCAGCCCTTCACCATCAACATCCCAGACTCCAAGATCGAAACCCTCAACTCCAAGCTCGCCAATGCAACATTTCCCACCGAACTCCAAGATGCCGCCTGGTCCATGGGTTCTCCCTTAGCAGATGTCAAACGTCTTGCAACCCATTGGCATCAGAATTTCTCCTGGCGTAATGCAGAGAAGCAGCTCAACAGTTATCCACAATATACTGTCCCCATCAAAGTTCCCAACTTCGAAGAGCTCGAGATCCATTTCATTCATCAACGTTCCAAACGAGAGAATGCCATTCCTTTGCTCTTCATTCACGGATGGCCGGGCTCTTATTTTGAAGCCCTGAAATTGCTCCCACTCTTGACAGATCCAAAAGACCCCAATGCTCCCGCTTTTCACGTCGTGGCCCCGAGTCTGGCTGGCTACGCATGGTCTCAGTATCCTTCACGAAAGGGCTTCGGACTCAAGCAGCATGCCGAGGTGCTTCATGGAGTGATGAAAGCTTGTGGCTATGAGAGCGGTTATGTCTCGCAAGGCGGCGATTGGGGAGGCTTTTTATGTCGGTTGGTGTCGAAGTTGTTTCCTGAGAGTGTCAAGGCTGTGCATACCAATTTCCCGGTCCACCAGTTCCCCAAGCCGTGGAAGAATCCGATTTCGTTTGTACAGGCAATGGGAGGTATTACTTTGTCGAGTCAAATTCGAGGGGACTTGGCGCATACACAAAAGGTGATCTTGCGCGAGTGAGCTTCACGAGAGGCCTCATTGCTGACGTTTTGGCAGTACTTTGCAGAAGGCGATGGCTACCTTAAAGAGCAAGACACGAAGCCGCAGACACTGGGCTACGGCTTGACAGATTCTCCCGTCGCGCTTCTAGCTTGGATTTATGAGAAGCTTCATGGTATGCTCTTGGTATTGCTCGATTTTCGAGAGCATGCACTAACATATCCGCCAGACTGGACAGACTCCTATCCCTGGACTGATGACGAAGTCTGCACCTGGATTTCCATCTATGCATTCTCCCGCGAAGGTCCTTCTGCCAGCACAAGAATCTACTATGAATCCGCGCATCCTTTTGGCGAAGGTGCTGTGAGCAGAATGGATGTAGTCAACATGTATATTCCCAATATCCCTCTTGCGCTGGCCTATTTCCCACAAGAACTTGCGAGATTGCCGAAATCTTGGGCGTGGAGTAATGGCCCCATTGTACAGCAGACCACTTTTGATGTCGGAGGGCATTTCGCTGCTTTCGAAGTTCCGGAGCTGCTGGCTGGAGATTTGAGAAAGCTGTTTGGGCCTGGTGGGCCTTGTGAAGGTGTGGTGGAGGGAAAGAAGGGATTTTGAGGAGGATGAGCGACGGAGATCAGATACAGAGATGACACATCAGAAAACAGTAATTTGCACGTGGCTCTCAAACGCTTTTCGGTTTGTGTTCAATTAGCCCAAGTGATTGTCTTCAACCGTACCCACTCCTTCAGCCCTTCCTCGCCATTGAATCTTCCAAACCCGGACTTCTTCGCTCCGCCGTGTGGTAAGCTCGTCTCATCATGTACACTCATCGAATTGATATGTACTGCTCCCGTCTCAATCTGCCTCGCAATTCTCAAACCTCTCTGCAAGTTCTCCGTAAACACTGCTGATGCGAGTCCGTATTCGGTATCATTGGCGATCTGGATGGCTTCCTCGTCGTTCTCGACGATGAAGAGACTCACAGTCGGTCCGAAAGATTCCTGATAGTAGAGATCAGAATCCTTCGATACATTCTCGATAATGACGGGCCGCATGGCGGTTGCAAGAGCTCGTTTGTCGTTCACGTCGCCGTATAGTGCTTTAGCGCCTTTGGCGATGGCATCGGACAGGAGAGCTGCGTTGCGTGCTACAGGGGCTTTGTCCACTAGGACGAGACCATTCTGGTCGGGAAAGATTTGATCAATCGTCGCGGAGAGCACTTGCCGGAATTCATCGGCGACTTTGGCATTTACGAGAATGCGTTCGGTGGCCATGCAGATTTGGCCAGAGTAGAGGAAGGATCCGACGCAGCATTGGACTGCGGCGGTTTGGAGGTTAGCGTCTTCGCAGACGATGGCTGGAGCTTTACCACCCAATTCCATGAGGGTGGGTTTGAGGTGCTTGCCTGCGAGGCTGGCGACGATGGAGCCTACGGCTGTGCTGCCAGTGAAGTTGATTTTCCGGACTGTGGGATGAGCGACGAGGGTGCTAATGATTTCGGGTCCTGATTCGCGGCTGTGGGTGATGGTGTTGAGGCAGCCGGCTGGGAGGCCAACCTTGTGGAAGATGTCCATAAGTACCCACATTGATCCGGGGCCTTTTTCGCTGGCTTTCACGACGACTGTGTTTCCCACTTTTATCTTGTTAGCGGTGGCGTTTCTCGAGCTGAGGTAACTGCGACTTACTGGCCAAAGGACCGAGGAACGATCGTAGCCCAAGAATGCAAGGACAGTTCCATGGGGCGATTGCCACGACCACTCCGTAGGCTTCTTTTACCACCATGGCGCTTCTGTTCTCGTCCAGCATGTCGGGCACGAAGCCCTGTCCAGAAGCCGCTGCAATGAGACCTGCGCAGCTCTTCAATGATTCCAGAGCATCGTTAAAGTCGAAGGCGAAGTACATATCGGTCGAGGCTACTTCTTGATTGGCAAAATGCCAGAGCTCATCTTTCCTGCGAACCATCTCGTCTGCAGCTTTGAGGAGCAAGTCTCGGCGAACACCAGGCTTGGTCTTGCTCCATGCTGGGAAAGCTTTCTCGGCGGCTGCGACAGCGGCATTGCAGTCTTCCACAGACGCGGAGGAGGCTTTGTACAGCACATTGCCTGTCGCTGGCGCTACGAGATCGAAGGAGTTGGTCGTTTGCACTTGTTGTCCATCTCGCCACAGGGGCACGGTCCAGTCTTGGCCTGGAGGGGTGAAGGCGCTGCCGTTCGCTGCGTTAGTGGCCATGTTGTGATTCTCTGCTGCTTGTGTCACGACTGGTATTGATATGAAGAGACTTGTGAGCTCCAGGCAAAGAAGTGACTTCCTGTGCTACTACTTATTCTTTCAATGAACAGTGGCTTCACGCGAACCAGTGTTACCGCATGGCACTCCCGAAGCGCCTGAAGGAGCTACATCGCAGCTCATCATGGACTACTGCCAGTGCTGGGCGGGGTACGGGGTATGGCAAGACGCACGTGATGGTCCAGAGGGGGCGGAGAAGTGTCTCTGTGCGCAGGAAGGTTTGGAGGAGGTGCTTGCTTGCTGGAGATTTGGATTTGGTCAGCCCTCGGTCGTGCGGAGTCAGCAAGTTCGTGCACGGTCCGAGAACTCCACTTCTCGCCTCTGCCACGCACCACCAGAACAGCGCTTCTCTATCAGCACCAGGAGGATCGCCTCGACTACGGCTCCATTGGAAAGCGCTGGCTGCCTTATCTCAGTCTTACGACGGCCTTGGTGCCTCGAAAACCCACATGTCGAGGAAGCAGCCAGAGCATAAGCAGAGTAGGCCCGCCTCGCTGCGTTGATTCTGAGCGAAGCAGCGTGTTCCCCATAATTATTGTGCAACGTCGCACCGCACTCCTTATATGTGCTTCACGTCCATAGCCGACGATTTCACCGGATACCCCCAAGCCGCTCATATCCGAAATCTCGTCTCCCATGCCACGACCAAAGGTGCGTCAACGATGTTGCTCCTTCTCTGCACCCTTGCAGCATGTCAGCTAATTATGGCCTCATAGGTCAAGCCACAGGATCGGTATGCCTACACAGTGCTGAGAAGCCTAACATCAGCGACTGACCATTGTCTACAGACAGAGATCAGCACGTGCTTGCGTCCCTTGCAAAGCATCCAAGATACGATGTGATGCTGCCACTCCATGTGGACCATGCCTGAAGCGAGAGCGGATCGATGCCTGTGTTTACCTCGAATCCTCACGTAAAAGGCAGAAGACTTCGCCCTTTCCAACGCCTAGCGTAGAGGATGCATCTCCGCGATATGATCCTCGTCTGGAAGAAGGGTCACAGACGGCTCAGCATGGCAGGTCGAAAAGGGGGGCAGAACCTGTTGCTCCCACTGCAAACATGCAAGCGACCAATGGGGCCACTTCGCGTGCACAGACTGGAACTGGCACTCATACCTCACCCAGTAACACGCCGGAGCCAGGCAAAGACGCTTCGCGGATGACTCAAAGTCGGATGTTGTTGAGCTCAAAAGGAGAGAAGTGTGAGTTATCCTGTCAACGTCCAGGTCCCATACATATCATGCTAATATTCTGTAGTATACGTCGGCGAAAATGCATCGCTTTCCTTCCTCCACTTCCTGCGACGGATTCTCAAGAAATACATGGGTCCTTCAGCATTCACAGAGAATCAGTTCAAGGACAACATGCTGGAGATTGAAGTGCCGCGTGATGAAAGCCCAGTGATGACTGATTTGTCTCGAGGCGACAAATTCGCTCTGGTGCAGCTCTACCGCGAAGCTGTAAGCTAATTGTCCTATTTCTTTACGTTGTTTCAAAAAAGCTGACCTACGCGCAGTCAAGCGGTATACTAGACCTGTTCACTGTTGCAGAGATACATGGCTTCCTAGACCGGCACAACGCGCTGAGTCCGAGCATCTTCATCGAAGTGGACGACAAAAGATCTCGAGCTGAGCAGGCCATGCTGAATATGATGCTCGCCATCGGGCATCAATGTCGTGGGCAGAACCCATTCGATTCGCACAATGCCACCCGATCATTCAGCTGCGCTCAAAAGTATGCCTTCGAAGGCTTCCTTTGCGATCCTAGCCTGGACATGGTACGAGTTTTTCTCCTCATGGCCTTCTACATGCTTGGCGCTTGCCATCGGAACGCCGCGTTCATGTACCTGGGCATAGCCTCGAAATCTGCATGTGCTCTTGGGTTGCACAGGAAAGATCAGTATAAAGGACTCTCGACGTCCGAATGTCTGACGAGATGGCGAACCTGGAAGAGTCTGCTCATTCTCGACACGATCGTTTCCTCAATTCTTGGACGACCCGGCGGTCTTCCATCAATGCGACCTGAGGACGATTCGGCTTATGACGGAGATGGTGAAGTTGGCGAATTCGACAAGCCGCGCTGGATCGCGTCAAGAGCTGTCTTTGGCATTTGCTCGCACATCATCGAGTTGGAACAACAGCTCGGCAGCGGGCAAAGTATGGATTCGAAAACAGCAGACGCCTTCTTACAACGTCTGCGAAAGTGGAACGAATCAGTCCCGGTCCAGCTTCGACACTTCGCCAGCTTGAAAGAGAGCACTCTTGGACCGGCTGATCGTGAGCTGTTCATCGGCTCTACACATGTTGCCTGCTCATACTACTTCACCATCATCCTCGTCACCCGGCCCTTCTTGATATCACATTTGGTCACACAAATCCGCAGGCGACGCCGACCGAGTGTAGACAAGCTGGAGCAGTCCTCGGCAGTCTCAGATCTGGCGCAAGCTTGCCTGGACAGCGCCGTGTACATGGCCAAGACTGGCTACATGTCTATCAACTCCAGCATTCTGTCAAACAACATGTGTCTACTGAAAGCCTGGATGTTCGCAGCTGGACTCCTTCTAGGCTTCTCCATGTTTGCCCAATCAGAACCTGTCCCCGAGGTTGACACGGCATTCGCGAATGCCATCGCAGTTCTGGAACGACTGGCAATCGTGTCACCGCAAGCACGCCATTACTACGAGATTCTCAGCACTTTCAATGACGCCGTCACTGCTAGACGAGAACAAATGGGTCGCGAACGTCGAAAGAAGAGCAATCAGTACGTCAGTCAATTATTCACTGCTGATTTCCATGATGGAACAGCGGCGGTGCCGACATATACAACGCCATCTTCGGGACCCAGCAACATGGATCTCAGTGCTGGCGGCAGTGCCGGCTTGGAAGGAATGATGGGTTTTGATTTCGATGCTAGCAGTCTTGATAGCCTTTCAGCTTCGTTCCCAGAGCAGACAGATGGAAACTGGACAGCTGACCCGCTCTTAAGCGATAACCTGTATATTGATTGGGAGTCTCTGTGGCCGATGGATGGCATGGTGATATGATATGATGATGGCAAGATTCAAGACTTTCACGAATGAAGTTACGCAGAGATATGATGCTTGTCATGTTCATGCACATGTTGGACATTCACTTCGGTTTTATCGTGTATGAGACAGACTGAAGACGAGAAAGCTTTTCGCTCGCAAAGTCGATTAGAACGAAAGTCAAAAGTGCAGAACGGGAGAGGAATTGAAGTTTTGGGAGAAATGATGATGGAATATAAGGTATCTTTTTACAAAACCAACAAGATCGCGCTCAACGCTCAGCCACGATGGAAGTAGGTACGATTTTCTCATTCTCTAGTGGGCAGCAACAGCAACACCATTCGTTTGCGGTGCCAGCCCATTCGGCTTGCTAATCTCGCCCAGCGACTGAGGCCATTGTTGTGGCCACTTAGTCTTGATATCCTCCCGCATATCATAGCTGTTCATCTCGGTGATAGTCAACTTGTTCTGCTCATCCTTGACTTTGTAGAGTGGATTATCAGTGTTGTCTGAGAAGCCAATACGCTCGTGAATGTTCTCTCGTGCACGAGCAGATGCGGCTTGGACTTTGGAGGCGCGTGGGTGGCGGACACGCTCGTAGAGTTGGAGGGCTTCTTCGACGCTGCCGGGGAAGAAGTCCTTTTGGAAGACGAGACCCAGGGCTGCGGAGTCTTCGAGGGCCATGCAGGCTCCTTGGCTTTGGTCGGGCATCATTGGATGGGCGGCGTCGCCCATGATGCAGGCTACGCCTTTTTGCCAGTGGGAGTATGGCTCGTGGACCCAGAGTCTCCAGGGGCGAATTTCTTGGCCGATTGCGAGGTGGTTTCGTACGCCGGTGTCGAGGTCTGGGTATGGGGCGAGGAGTTCGTCGACTGTGCTCGCGGCGTCCCATTTCTGTTCCGTGAAGTCGCCCTTTTCGCGTGGGAAGAAGCAGTAGTATGAGAGCAGGCTGCCGCTGTTGCAGGGAGAGAGAACGATCTTGTTCCAGCTGTGGTGGCCGCCCCAGTATTCGATGGCGCTGTTCTTCGAGTAGTCTTCGTATCCTCGTGCTACGGCGTCCTTGGTCATGACGTTGGCGTGGAGGCAGCTGGAGTCGGCAGGGCGCTTTTCCACTTGGATGCCGATGAGTTTGCGAATTTGAGAGCCAATGCCATCAGCGCCGATGACAACGTCATGCTCAGCAACGACTCCGTTGCCGAACGTGATGCGTCCTGTTGTGGTGTCGAGGTCGACACACTTGTGGTTGACAACGAGCTTGACTGGCTGGCCAGCGCCTTCCTCTTGCGTAGCGCAGTCCATGAGCATCTTGTGCATGTCTTGCCTGTGGAACATGTAGTATGGGTTGCCCCACTTCTCTTCATAGTCTCCAAGGTCGTACACGCTCACGGGCTCACCAGTCTTCCAGTCGCGGTTGATGAGCTTGCGAAGATAGACGCCGTCGCCCTTCTCGATGTCGACACCCCACTCTCGTAGCCATTTCATGCCATTTGCTGCGCAGGATATCGATGCACCGACCTCGCCCGCATAGTCTGCTCGCTCATAGATGGTGACGTTGTGGCCTGCTCTCCTAAGAGCGATGGAAACTGCAACACCACCAATACCGCCACCAACAACAGCAATGTTGAAGGGCTTCCAGTTTGATCCCGGCTGAGTCATGATGTGTTGATTGTCTTCTGATCCGATGGTAAGAGTTGATGTGATGAAGGACTTTGAAAGTCTTCTTGTAAGCTCGTGCTAATTCAGGCTCTTGATGTTTGTGATTTGTGTTGTTTGTGTGGATGATGATTGTCCATTGACGGTCTCTGCAGACATCTAATAACCATTTCTTCTTCCATCATGACAGCTCTAACCAGCGTAGCTCTATCAAGCCTGAGCCGTGCGATAAGGTTGCAGTGTCGTTGGTTGTTCGGTAGCCGTGGGCGAGACCAAGCAAAAGTGCTCGGATCGAGCACCTCGCGCTGCTGACCCAAACCTCCGCGCAGCTCGCGGGATGCACGTCGTTGACGGGCCGCTGATAACCGCCGCGTCCGACAGAACCTCTGCTGCATCCGAAGAGCAGGGGGTTCTTCCACCTGCGGGCCTAGCCGCTGAGGAGTTTCGGAACCTGTCTGGAGCTCGGATTCTTACTGCGGCTGGATGCCTGAATGAGCCAACACTGACCACCCTGGGAGCTGGTAGGTCGGGAGAGCTCTAATGCCACTGTTGTTGCACCAATCTTCCTCCTTCCTCTGCTCACTCTTCTCCACTCTTACAGTATCTGTCTGACGAGAATCACATTTCCTCTTCCAAGACAGAATACACTGAAAAACATGGCGACCAACGGGACAAACAAGCAAGATGTCGGCCTCAATAAGGAATGGACCGAACAAATCATCAAGGCCATGGGGCCAAAGACCGATGCTCGTCTGCGAGAAGTTCTTGGACCACTGATTCGCCACATTCACGACTTTGCTAGAGAAGTCGATCTTACTGTCGATGAATGGATGGCTGGCGTGCAGCTCGTCAACTGGGCGGGTCAAATGAGTAATGAGAGGAGAAATGAAGGCCAGCTTCTTTGCGACGTGATTGGACTTGAATCGTGAGTTCTGCCCGCCAAATTTCTTGGATTTTCAGTACTGATCAGGAACAGACTGGTGGACGACATCACGGTAAGGAAGGCAGCGGCCGCCGATGACGCCGCCACTGCCTCTGCTATTCTTGGGCCCTTTTTCAGACATGACCACCCAGTCCGAGACTTTGGAGGCACAATCACATTCAATACTCCTAAAGACGCCCAGGTGGCCTATGTTCATGGCGTTGTGACCGACGCGAAAACCGGAAAGCCAATTCAGAATGCATCCGTCGATGTGTGGCAAGCCAGCACAAATGGTACTTGCACTTTGTCCATCGACCAAACATCTATGCTAACAACAGGCAGGCCTATACGAACAGCAGGATCCAGATCAAGTGGAGCACAATCTCCGAGGGAAATTTTATACCAACGCTAATGGCGAATATGCCTTTTACTGCCTTCGACCTACCCCATATCCTGTAAGTCTCATTTCAAAAAAAAAAAAACGACTTTCCCGCGGCTCAGCTAATAACGAACAGGTACCTTTCGATGGCCCTGCAGGCAAGCTCCTGCAGCTCATGGATCGCCACCCATACAGACCGGCACATATCCACTACATTGTACAACACGAGGGCCACAAGCCAATCACAACCCAGATCTTCGATGCCGAATCAAAGTATCTGGATGACGATTCCGTCTTTGCTGTCAAAGATTCGCTTGTTGTCAAGTTTGAGCCTCGCAAAGGTGATGCCCAGGCAGAATGGGAGCTTGAATATAACGTGGCCTTGGCCAAAGATGACGAGAAGGGAGCTGGCAGCGTGCCACAGGTGTCCTCTGGAGCTGGCTCTTAGGCAATCTGTAACATATCTTAATGACCGCAATCGCGATGAGCTTCGTTACGACTTCAAACACCGTGTTTTCCGTGAACTCCGGTTTTTCCTGAAATGGCATGTGCAAAATAAAAATCAAAAAATTTGCGTCTCGGAAGCATAGCCGTCATGCACATTGTCAGCAACGTGGAAGGCTAGACTGCTCTGCATCAAGGATCGTCTTGTTGGAATGATGTCTGTGAGTCTTGGCTGCGTCCGATCCGATGGATGTCCATTTGCCGCATTGAGAGGACAGCAGGAAAGGCTTGGCTATGGCATCTTTCCCCGGTACAGGTTCACAAGAGGCTCTGAGATATGCATGTGAATTGTGGAGAAGAAGTGCTTTGTCATACAAGTCTATATCTATGCTTCATCGTCCTTAAACCTCCCAAGCTTGAACAGCTTCTTGGCATTATCACGTCCAATAGCCTTCACGGTGTGTTCGCCGTCCAATTTCACATCGTTATCATACCAGTTGCATGCATCCGGGAATGATTCGAATGGGTAGTCAATGGAGAATAGGATCCTCTCAGCTCCAATCTCCTTGATGCAGTACTCGAGCGTAGGTGTTGAGAAGTGCCCGCTAGTGGTGATCCAGATGTTTTGTGCAAAGTATTCACGAATTGTCTTCTTGCAATCTAGGCCAAGAGGCTTCTTAACATCCTCAAACCAGTGATTGATACGCCAAAGGTCGAATGGAATGTGCTCTCCCAAGTGTCCGATGATGACCTTGAGCTTGGGGAATCTGTCGAAAGTGCCGTTGGTGACCATACCAAGCAGGTGCAGACTGACACCTTGTGCGAATGAGAGAGGTGGTCCGACGAGCCACTTTCGTGGTGCCCAGAGCTTGTCGTGAAAGACTCCGGTTGGGTTTCTTGGGTGAAGGTAGAACGGCACATCGAGCTCCTGCACAACAGACCAGAACACATCCCACTCTGTGTTGTCGTAGAAGATCATGCCAGTTCCAGACTCGTCGTTTCGCTGTGTGTCGTTCACAAGAGCTCCGAGAAAACCATATTCCTTCACACATCTTCGTAGTTCATCTGCCGCAGTCTGTGGATCATGCATAGACAAAGTGGCGAATCCACCTAATCGGTTTTCAAAGCCTTTGATTTCTTTCGCAAGGTGGTCGTTCACTTCTCTCGCAAGTGCATCGGCCTCTTTTCGGTCCCAGACGTCTTGAACACCTGGTGCTGTGTATGAAAGAATCTTGTAACCGACGCCGTACTTGTCCATGTTCTCGATGCGGAGCTTGTTGATGTCGTTGATCTCCTTGGTGTGCTTGGCTGGGTCAACGGCGAACAGGCTTGCCCACCATTGTGTCTTTTCGGCATTGCGTGGCAACGCGAAAGCCTCTTCCAAAGCGACCTTGCCCTTCATGTTTGCTGATTATCGTTATTGAGTCTGAGTTGTATGAGATGCGGCTTCCTGCCTTGAATGTCGGAATGTAGAGTCCGTTCGAAGCAAGAGGTTTTGAGATGAAGGACCAAGACGAAGTGGGAGGCTTGGAGCTTTGTATATGTTCGCTGGGTCAAGAGTAGTCAAGCTTACAATAGATTCCTAATCTGATGCCCCAAGGCCAAGGGGATCCCCTCGTGCTCCACGTCTCCACGTACCAAAGGCTCGCATGGTGTCAAGAGGCTCATCTTTGGTCTGACTTCTGCCGGCTTACGGAGGCGTGTTGGCTGGCCGAGCTGTCCAGCTTCGGACAAGGACCAAGCACGGCTAATGCACCTACACCGGCTATGTTCCGCACCATGTACCCTGGAGGGAGGACGATGCCATCTTGGCTGGTGATTGACTGTTGAACTTGCAAGCAACTTCTCGCGCTTTTTCGATGATGTTGTCGCTATGTGTTTGTATCAATTGTTTGGCTCTTGCAACATCGCGGACGGCTTCATAAGGCAGGAGTGTAGGAAGAGAATTGAACTGATCCGAAGTTCCGATCGGAAGCCCGTACGAGCCGAAACGGCAAGGGCTATTAGGCCAACATGGCGAGTCCAGGATAGTCCAGGTATTGGTAAGAAAGTGCGACTTGAAACAAAATCCGACGAATACGACGAAAAGGACGCGTTGCAAGATTTTGTGAAGCTGCCATGGCACCGATAATTAGTTGGAAGGGAGCTTACAGCTCTTCGCGACCACAACGAGTGAAATGTCACTACTTGCTAATAAACTTCGCCAGTCTGCCACTGGACAACTGCACTCGCGCCGACCTTCTAGCAAGACCTTCAATGGAAACAAGCTTCCAATACATCAATTGTGCTTCGTGACTTTCACCACTTTCCCGTGCTCGTCGACCTCGACTGAATCTCCTGGCTATGATTGTTGATTAGCGTGAGCTCAGAACAACATTTGCAAACGGAGTCGCAGATGCAATCGAGTTTAGGACAATTCTCCCTAGGCACTAGCGACGACGAAGATCAGAAATATGTCGCAAGGTTGCGCGACTTACCACATTCACAAAGCCTTCCACCATCTCGTCCGCTGTCATGCCTGGAGAGCCCTTCCCAGCTGCCACACTACCAATAGCCCCAGCAAAAGGCTTGCCATTCCGCTCGAGTTCCTCTGGTCTTGGGAGACCTTTCTTGTCGATCATGGTGTAGCCCTCACTGAGCTCCTTGTCTTTGATCTTGGAAAGCTTGTCACCAGGCATGGTCGGCGCGTCGATCTTCTCGAAGGGTTCGTCAAGCTTGGGGATTTCTTGTTTCGCTTTGGCCTCTGCTAGAGTTGGCCACTCAGACTTGCCCTTCTTGGAGTTCGGATTCAACGACATAGCGGGGGCTCGATCTGCTTTCCGATGCCAACAGAACTCCCAGAGACCCGGCGACGCCTCATCTTATGGCCCGACTTGGTGTTTGCTGCGTCTTCGTGTTGAGAGAGCATTTGCTTGAGAACAAACCATGATTGCGCCATTCTCGCAAACGGGAACTAGCCTTTCGTGAAGGTGGAAGTTTCTTGATGCATAGAAAAGCAGAATGAGTACGTGTCGAGTGGAAGTCATTGCATGGTTTCTCCTGTACACTGGGTTGATGGGACCCAGAGGCTGCTCTTGCTCTGATGATTCACATATGTCTTGTTGATTGGTCATGAGCGTATGATGTGCATACAAACCAGCGAGCTTATGAGCAAAACAAGCAGCCTGGATTGCACATTTGGCTTTGGTCTGACAAGAACAGCTTGCTGAAGGATGATAGGATACATTCGCCCTCACTGAAGATCAGATACTGTGTGGATGCACATCGAACTAAGTGCTTCCGCCAGTCTCAGCACCTCGGGCAGTCAAAGCATACACCGAGCGTGGAGTTTCCCAGACCAAAATGTGGGGAACCACCTCCAAAGGTTCATCACAATAGATGTCATTCGAAGTGGCTGGGAAAGGTTAACGCTTCGTTCAGGCTGCCACAAATTAGACTGCTGCTCCGCGTCGCCCGGCACATGGTCTCGAGCTTCGACCTTGATGCAGTGACCTAATCAAAGACTCCAGGCGGGGCTTGCAGGTGTGCGAAGCACCGCCGCTTCATGTCTGTCCTTCCTATCGTGGAAGATCTATAGAGCTGACCACGATCGTTGGTGAAGCATGGGTAGTCATGGACGTCACCAATCTGACAAGCGAAGAGCTGATTAGAAGGGATCGGTGTCCTCGACGCTGTTAGATTTGGTTCTAGAGCTATGGTAACCCATGCCGTCTTCGTAAGAACTTTTGCCGTGCCACGGAAAGGCAAGTCTCCGGAGGAGTTGTTGATTGAGCTTACACTTACGTTGATTTTGATTCGACAGAACCCCTGTCGAGCACAAGGTATGTTTAAATGCATGCTTAAAGCTTGTGCGGGGATCGAGGGGTTGGTGTTGTTGTATCGTGGGCGGAGATGGAGCGGAGTAAAAACCGATGGTGATGTTTGGGTTCGAATCAACATGGACAGCCCTGCTCGATGTCAAATGCAGAGTAGTCGAGACAATCCGATAAAGCTACCAGCGCAAGTGTTGAGGCCTGGGAGAGGGCTGGCGTGCGATCCCCTCTGTCGGGCACTATCGATCGGACGCCCGCGATTGCCAACATATATGAGAACTGTCAGCCTTCAAGCTATTTCAGCTCCATTTGCTCTTCTCGCAGTTTGACCAAAGACAGCCGCTACTATGAAGATTTGTCTTGCGTTCTTGAGCTTCTTGCTCTCGTCCACGGCTTTGCCAGGTCGGCGTCAAGACGCACCGTCCCTATGCGACAAGTGTGAGCGAGCCTTTACCATTAGCATCGACACCACTAGCTGACATGGAGTGTGACCAGACACAACTGCGCTGCTGAAGGATAACACAGCCGCCAACCAGCAGACTGTCCTGACGCTGGTGCGTTACGTACAGTGATGGATTGACAGACCGCAGTGCTGACTTGATCTCCAGATCGTGAATACGGCTGTCATTGGCAACTATACTTCCATGCCAGGTTCACTCGTCAAAGTTGATGGAATCCTCGCTCCAGGCACGGGCGAGTATGAAGGCGTGAATCTTGCTCCATACTTCAGTGGCGAAGGCCCAACCACCAACAGGGGCGGCGACCAAGGCGTTATGGTCAACTTCCTCGATGGAGGCGGTGCTGATCCATTGAAGAGCAACATGCCTGCGAACGATCCAAATAGTAATCAAGGGTGAGTCGCACCAAGTTCAGCAATCTGCAACCCGTTGACTGATGGATTTCTCAGCATTCTGATTTCCCACCTTTACTCTTACTTCGCCGTCCTGCTAGGATGTTCTCAATTTGGCAACACTGTCGCGCCATATGCAGGCAGAACATCGATGTACGAGGTACACAAGTTTATGGATCTCGATAACCTTGCCGTTGGATGGTTCATCCAGCAGGTGGGACTGGCTGCTGCGAGCTTCGGAGTTACCGATGAGGACGTCGCTACTGTTGGAAAAGCGCTTTCGGATACGTTTGGCAAGAGATGTAGTCCTCCGGCCAGCGTTCCGCCTAGTGCAGAGCCAATGTTACAGGCAATCTGCATACAGGTAAGTGAAGTCCATGAATCGCATTTGGAGTTGCGACCTCGCTGACGGTAAAGCAGTCGAATTGTCCTTTAGCTGATATGCCGATGTGCGATGCGTACGGAGAAGGCTCTGCGGGCTCTGCAAGCCCAGCGGGATATGGCCATGGCAGCATGTGAAGTCGAAGCCCAGCTATTGCAGTGACACGCCATATCTTCCAGTTGGATTTGCTTCTGCTCTTGCTGAGATCTTGAAGTATCGTTTGTAGTGTCCGTATGAAATAGTCTGCTATTTGGCGACTAAACTTGTCACCAATGGTAACAAAGTCGGTAGTACGCTTCCGATGGTAGAAGGTGAAGCTTTCTGCCGCAAAAGCTATTGATGCCTCGCAAAGCAAGCGTTGCGCGAGGATTTGTATTGAGGACAAGCAGGCTCAGATCACTGTGATTCATCATCAGATGTTGATCGGAGAACACGGCCATCCGTCGTCTTGGCAAGTCTTTTCCATATGGCGAACGCTTCAATGACGGTGGTCAAGAATAGTGCAGAACCCAATCCGATCCAAAGGCCGGAGATACCCATCTTTGGCGGGCCCAGCTCGAGGAAAATTGCAACAGGCACGGCATACAGGTAATTTATGGTCATTGTGCACCAAGCTCCGATATCCTGCCATCCGAATCCTCGTCCGATGCTATGCGGCCAGTTAACTGTCGCATCCCAGATCATGAATACAGCCGCATATGGGATGGCTGCCTTGATTATCTGCGCCACCTTAACGTCGTGGACCAGGTACCGCAGAGTAAGAAAGATAAATCCCGTGCCGAGCAGCGCATCGAACAGTCCAGCAATCAGGAATACAACTGCGTACCATTTCATCACCTTGCGTGTGGAGCTTGTCATTCCGGCGCCGACCAGCTGTCCGACTCTCGTTGAGCATGCCACAGATGCTGAAAATGGAACATGCCAGACCAAGGTTGCGATAGTTCCAATAAAGGTTTGTCCAGCAAGCGCCTCGTCGCTCACAAATGCCGTGGCGAAGGTTAATATCTCAAAGCACATCCATTCGCTCAGCGTCATCAGAGTTCCTGGGATTGCGAGCCGCATAATGAGACCCCATTCTTTGCGCCACTCGGAGCTGATCTCGGAGGTTGACGGCCAGCATTTCAGAGTCGATGGCTTGGTAAATTTTGCATAGGCCGCGAGAAGGATTGGTCGTACAAAGTTCGTCAAGGACGCCGAAAGTGCTGCACCAGCTACTCGCATATCGGCGACATAAACCAGAAGGTAGGTCAGTCCGATATTGATCGGCAAGCAGAGGATGAGGATAATCATTCCGGCGGTGAAATCGCCTTGGGCTTGCATGAATCGCTTTCCATTCTCGAATGTCACGAAGCCGGGTACTCCAATCAGTGTGTACCTCAAGAAGCTGCTCGCATGCAAAGCCAAGGACTGAGAAGGTACTATTGCTGCAATGAGCGGACCGGAAAAGAGCCAGAGAGTACCTATGGGTATCACTGCAGCCAGATGCACAAGTATGGTTGCGCGAATCGTATATAACCCGACATCAGCGAGACTTGAAGAGCCATAAGCTTGTGAGCAAAGCGTGTCGAGTGCAGTTGCCATGCCTCTGGAATATCGTTAGCAAGTGTTCAAGCTTGAAGGTCAAGTAGACCGATACTCAAAGACAGCGAATCCAGTAATGTTCGCCGTTGTTATGCCCAACGAAACTCCAGCGATTTCCTCGGTAGATAGCTGCGCCGCAACCACAATGATGATGACTTGGTAGGCATATTGCAAGAAGTACGTGATCACCAGCGGTCCTGAGTACCTGACCAGGATGGACGCCTCCGTTCTCAAAGAAACCTCCTCGATTACAATTTCCTCATTGTCTTTGCCGGTGGCGACGCTCTCTTCGCTGCAGTTGTGGTGGATAGGTGAGCGATCATCGCGGAGAAGGGGCGTCGACTCGGTTGGCTGGCCAGCAGCCGTTTCCGCCGCTGCAGTCATCTTGTGCTTTCCTTCAAGAGAAAAGTAGCAAAATTTCAACACGAGTTCAGCTACATTGAAACTTTGAGATCGTGGTTGTTGCAGACATTGGTTCGCAGGATGGGTTCCAAATTTTGTGTCACCGTGCATGATGCCCAGCCAATCCCGGCCCAACATGGGACCCACTGCTGGCCCCTGCTGCATGGATATGGCGGTGTCCGTTCCTCCCTCATCATTGGAACCCAGTTCCCATAGCTTCATACACAATGAATTGTGCTTCAACATGCAGCTCGTCGTGCCGTGGCTCGATATCAGAGACCTATTCAGCTGGAATGGCCGAACGCGAGATGAGAAAATTTCCCGCTGGAGATTCACCAGACAAGTAGACACGGACAAATATGCTCACATTTTGGAAGCTTTGGTGAAGTGTACCAGACACAAGACAGCTCGTATGAGCACTGATGCCGGAGACTTAGGCGAAACCAGGTATCTGGACCGAGTATTCGATTTTTCAATTTCTCAATTTCTGATGTGCGTGGCTCTAAGGCAGCGTGTAGCCACCATCGATGATTGTATCGCTGCCAGTCTGGTATGAGCTGGCATCTGAAGCGAGGTAAAGGTACAAGCCTTTGATCTCTCGGACATGACCTTGTCGACCAAGCGGCGTCATTCTGTAAGCCTCGCTTTGCACTTTCGGGGCAGCGCCCATCTTGGTATCGAAGAAGCCAGGCGAGACAATGTTGACGCGAGCAAAGTCCCGCCATTCTCGAGCGAGAGATCTGCCGAGATGCCTAATGGCTGCCTTTGTTGCATTGTAGACCTATCGGTGTCAGCTGCATGCCCATAGCCCGAGGGTCTCCGTGCTTACTGGCTGATCGACAGGCACATTGACGATGTGTGCTGAAATACTAGCTGTGATGATGAGGTTGCCGAATCCTTGCTTCTTGAATACTTGGCCTGCAGCACGAGCTTGCCACACGACACCATCGGCTGATCATGTTAACGAAGGTTACAGTCTGCTCGGCTCCGTCGACACTTACTATTCACTTCCATTTGCTTCCTGTACTCCTCATCAGAGGTCTCGAGAAGTGGCTTCGAAATAGCCATTCCCGCATTTGCAACAAAGACATCTAGTCTTCCAAAGTCTGCGACTATTTGTTCAACGACCTTGTCAACTCGATCAGAGCTCGACACTTCTAGCTGGTAGGCCTTCGCACGAATGCCGTGCAGTTCGGCAAGCTTGGCGCCTTTTGAGATTGCTTCGTCGTTCGAATTGTAGAGGAGAGCAACATCACCACCTGCTTCAGCGATAGCCTCAGCTGCGGCCCACCCAATACCTGCAGAGGCACCAGTGATGGCAGCAACTTTGCCCTTCATGCTGAATTGTTGCAGGACATTGTCTGGAATGTTTGGGAATGGCTTTGGCTGCCGCGGAGTGGCATTCGCGTCCTCGAGTGTCATAGACATTTTGAACTTGTGATTGTGCTCGTTGCAGAACTAATAAATGATGAGCAAATGAGAGCAATGACCTACCAAGAAATATATGAACGATCGAACATCGTGGAGTGCAGGTATGCTGTCACCCCAACCGAAGCTTTGGTTGGTGGAACTGTCTCGGCCGCGTGCTCGCCGGCTTGTCTGGCAGGCGTGGCAGGGTCGTCCCTCACCTCCAGCTGTATCTCGACAATGCACCTCCTCCAGCATGATCATGAATGTCACGCCTCAATGGCTGTTAATGATGCCTAGTCGATGAGAAGCGTTTGCTTGCGAGTCGATTTTCAGTCAGAACTATGGACACAAAATCGGATGACATCAGGCAGATCAGCAAGCGATCCTCTCCATCTTTCCTCAGCTCGTTCAGCTCGTTCAGCTCGTTCAGCTCTACTTCTGGCGACAATGCATGATGCAACTCATGGTATAGATGGATAGTACTGAAGAGACACAGTCGACAGGGTCGGCCACAAGCAGTCCATATGAATACCCGAATAAGAAGTTCAGCTCCACAAGGGACTACCTCGAATGGCTCTCGATAGCAGTCATGGAAGCGCACACCACGAGCCACGGCTTCGACCCCATCCTCTTCCAACACGTCGCTTCCGATTTCGAGATGGTCAACGCGTCGGTTCACGAATGTCCGTTGCCTCCGGCTGCCAATCTGGCGGAACATCTGCAACAGATTGTGCAATTCAGAAAAGACAACCCGGGGTGGAAAGTCAACGCTACAAATGTCAGCGTCAGCTTGCTGAAAGGCTCCAACTCGGCTGAAGTGTGGTTGACGATGAGAGGATGCGATGCGGACGACATCACCTTCAACCGCGAGAGTGTGAGCATATTACACTGGCGGAGGCGATCGACAGATGGTGTCTGGGTCTGCTATAGGCATACTGGGATAAGAGGTCCGGGTGATAGTCTGGCCGCCACTGGCGTATGAGAGGACCAGGGAAGTGGTTGTGTCTCAAAGGGCAGACAGGCGGTGCGCCGCGGTCATATACCCGGGTGGGTGATGGGGTCCAGCAGCACCATGCCTGCCGAACCGCCCTGCGCGTCAGCACTTCAAGATGCATAGCGTGATTAGGAGATGCTCACAGAACACGTTGGCACAATACGCCTCCTGTAGACCGTGGATGCTGACCAACAAAGTCCTCCCTGCATCGCGCCTCAGAAGTGGATTGTCGATCGGAGAAGACATTCAACACAATGTCGTGTACATAAGGTTATTCGAGACATATGCTGCTATATCGACTGGCTCTTCCACCGAAAATGCATAGCTGAACCAATACTCCCTGGCGTGCTCATAATTTGGAAGTCTGCTTCTCTTTCTTCATTTCGTCTGCCGCCATTTCGCGCAAGACTTTCTTCAAGATCTTGCCACTTGGATTCTTAGGCTACGCAAGGTCAGTATATTCCGAGGAGTCACAATAATGGCATGAACTTACAATCTCGTCCAGAAACACCACACCTCCATCCGGACGCTTGAACTTCGCAAGCCGCGAACCCATAAATTCGATGATAGCTTGTGCGTCCAAGTTCTTGCCCTCGTCATTGCTCTTCCTCACCACATATGCTCGCGGATACTCAGAGTCATCATTCTTATTCCTCTTGACGCCAATGACGCCCGCGTCTGATATTCCAGGATGGTCGAGCAGAACAGCTTCCAACTCAGGCGGTGCAACTTGGAAGCCTCGCACTTTTATCAACTCTTTCTTGCGATCCACGATATACCACTTTCCTGTCTCTTTCGCACAGTATGCGATATCACCTGTATGGAAGAAGCCATCTTTATCCCAGCTATCGGCTGTCGCCTTTTCGTCCAAGTAGCCTGGGATTACTGTAACACCTCGTATGCAGACTTCCCCGCGGACGTCGTAGTCTGTGATCTCTTTGTTGGGATCGGCAATGTCTACGATTTTCAATTCTACGCCTGGGACAGGACGGCCGCAGCTTCCGGTGTCGTCGTCTTCGGGGTAGGGGAAGTTGGTACAGATGCAGCTCTGGATGCAGAATACGTTAGCATATCCTATCAGAACTTTCAACGGAAGAAGAGGACAGCATACCGTCTCAGTCATACCCCAGACTTGTGTAAAAGGAGCGTCCTTTGCCAGCAGAGCTTGGAATTTCGCTTGCTGGGTCTTCTCCAAGGGAGCTGCACCACACGTTGCGAACTTGATACTCTTCATTGAATATTTCTTCGTCAAGTCGGAGTTGATAATTTGTAAGACCATCGGTGGCACAGTTGCGCAGTCTGTAATCTCGTACTTCTCGATGTACTTGAGAAAGGCTTCGAGATCGAAGCGACGCATGATGTATGTGTCGACGCCATTGTTCAGCGGGCTGAAGTGTGTGCATGGAGCTGTGGCGACGTGGAACATGGGCGTGCATTGGAGACGTTTGATCTGCTCAAAGACATCAGTTCCTGCTGCAAGACACAATTCAAGTCCGGCTCACCTGGTAAGGCTTTGGTTTCCAGTCATTGATCTGGATATGCTGTGCGATCAGATTATAATGCGTCAGCATGGCGGCCTTGGGAAGTCCTGTTGTCCCCGAGCTGAACATCCTCGCTGCTGTTGTCTTCTTCGAAATCTCGACATCGTCGAATCGCTCCCAATCTTCTTCGCCATGCTCGAGAAGCGTCCGCCATGACTTGAATCCATTTGGCACTTTCTGCCGCTCTCGATTGTCGAATATCAGTATGCGGTCTCTTGATATTGATCCAGAGTCGTCTGCAGCTTTGAGTGCGTGTTTCAGAATTTCGGGCTCGACTATGAGGAATTTGATGTGTGCCGCTTTGATCGCGTGGGCCAGCTCGTACGGTTGGTAGGATGGATTCGTGCCAGCGAAGATCCCTCCAGCTGCTATGATACCATTGGCTAGGATGGAGTAATTGATCTGGAGCTTGAAGTCAGCGGAATGGCTGTAGCAGATGCAGCATAATAGTCCGTGACATACATCATTGAAGCTGTGCACACACACGGTATCACCTTTCTTCAGTCCAGCCTTCCGGAAGCCAGCAGCAAGCTTGCGTATCGTACTTCTTGCCTGAGCAAAAGTATAATGTCGTTTGGTGTTGTCCGCATCGATGTAGATCTGCTTGTCTTCCTTCACTCGAGGGTTGTCAAAGTACCACGAAATCAAGTCTTTGCCTGGAAATTCAAGCTCAACTTCTTGCTTGAAGACCATGTTCACAAAAGCTTTCCGAAACAGGATAGACTGGTGATCAAAGCGCGTGGTATAGAGAGGTGAAGTAGACTACTTCACCCCCATTCTAGCATTATCACATGGGTCTTTTGCCGAGATCTGCATAAGCCATCATGGCAATTATTTTGTTGTGCCGCCGGGTATGATCGTTTTGGGATGGGTAGCTTGAAAGTTCAAGCGTCATGGCCCTTGTACCTCGGAGAAACGGTGAAGTTTATTCTCAGCCTCTTGAAGCTTATGCTGTTGATTTCGGAGCCGATGAGTCAATGGCTCGCTCGAACTCTTGCAGTTGGAGTTATGAGAAGCACTCGCGAAATGGAACTTGACCGTGCAATGCTTCATGATTCATTCACTACACGCTGGAGTAGTGTCTATATGAGACCGGCCGAAAAGCGGCATGGCTTTTCAACGTCTGTTCCTTGGGCCAAGCTGTCATGCGATCTGTTCGCGGGACTGAGCGCTGGTCCGTATTGTTAGACGGAGTCACATCAGCAGCCTGCGTACAAAGCGTTGGCGTAAAGTGCGTAGGTATCTGCGTTGTTGACGGCCTGCTGAGAGGATAGAGCCCTTGAAGCCGAGTATCCATAAGCGTAATCATCGGTGCCTGGAGAATAGACGCGAGGTGCATGAGTCTTCTCTATTGGTGTGACATACAGAGTCAGCGCCAGGATTGTCTGAGATAACGTTGAGGTAGGGGACGAGCTCAACTCACCATGAAGCACCGTCGTTGCTCGATCCTGGCCGTGACATCGCTTCGAGATAGCTTGAAGGTCATCGTAGAAGATGTCGCAGTAGGCAATGTAGTTTTGCGAAGGCAAGGTGTATGCGATCACACCTGATTGGCAGGCGCCGTACTCGTCTTCGCAAGATGACTGGGTGACGCCGCTATTGGTAGTCGCACACTCATCAGCAACAGCCTTGAAGCGGGCGGCCACAGTGCGAATAACGGAGCTGGAAGAAGATTTGAAGTATTCTTGCATCTTGTGGCCAGCCTGCGCTGCGGAGGCGGCGTTGTTCGCAAGATCGGCACAGTTAGAAAGAGCGGTCTGGAGAGCAGCTCCCCTTTCTCGAGAGCAGCCTTGGGTGTCGAGCTCAGTTCGCTTGTGAGCGATCTTGTGAGCAAGATATGGGATTGCTTTTGCTTTGTCGCCGTCGATGTCTAAGGTGAGGGTGTTGCTCGAGAAGGCCACTGATTCTCCGGAAAGGGTCGTGCTGTTCAAGTCGGCGTATGGCATGGAGCCAGTGGCGCGAACAGTGTATTTGTCTGTGTTTTCGACATCTGCCAGCTGTCAGTGTCTTCGCAATCTGATAATGTCATGTACGCTTACCGTAAAGCTCAGCGACATCCACTTCGGTCGAAATGGTCTGACCCGGCTCAATGGGCACAAAATGAGTGGCCTCGAGGTTGGTCGTGGCCATGCGGAGCAGAATTCCGTTGAATGCTGCACGGGAGGCTGTTGTATGTCAGTGATGAGAGCTGAAGTGGATTTCAGTGTCACGTCTTACCTGGTCCGTTGACAGTAAACTTGTCTACCGGCGAATCTCCATCTAGGAAGGTACCTCTGTAGAACAGATTGTAGCCACGAGCGTCGTTGTTGGTGACGGAAGCCTTGACCTTACTGTCGCCCAGCGAGGTCAGCACAACAGTCAGTGGGGTGTCCCGCTTGAGCAGGTCCACTGCTGCGCCACTGGCATAGGCGATCCAAGTCGCCGTGGTAAGGAGTGAGAAATGCATATTGAAAGCGAGGTTTCAAGAGCCGGCAATTTGAGAACGAATGCGCAAAAAGTCGAATTCGTCAACGATTGAAGCTGTATTGTCCAAGAATCAAAGGGTATCGAAGGAGTGACAAACCCTACCAGAGGGAAGAAATTGTATGAAGGAGAGACAGAAGTGAAGAAGCTTCAACCGAAGACGATTCTCGAGCTCGCAGAGGCCGTGGTGTCGTGAAGTAGAGTGAAGTATGTAGCAGGCCTTTATAGCCGCAACCTACTAGTCAGACATGTCGATACTCCTGCAGTGTAATGAGGCTTGCCGAGAAGGACTACGGCTAGCTCTGCGGACATCCTACCGCGTCCAGAGCAGTTGCCGCCCGACACGGAAGGCAGAGTCGTCTGAAGCAGAACCAGTCGGGCGTAGATCATGGACTGAGACTGGGTTCCAAGCTCAACATGCGGCACATGGAGTATCTGGGCGGCTTGGCTCTGTGACAAACAATGCAAGAGCGCAACGGTGATCACATGGACGATAGGACGGCGCGAAGGCCAGGACGACGGGCTAGCGCGTTCGTTGTAATTCGAGTTTGTCTGGTAACGCTGCGGAGGCAGCTGTTCGCGAAATTGGCCTTGCATGAGAGATAGTTCTTTGTGTTCCTTCAGACCTGTTGCCTCGTCAAGATGTTCGTTTGCTATAGAATGGTAGCAATCGCCAAGTAGCTGCGTGGAGAAGGATTCGCATGCACTACACTGCCGTTTGGGCCTCTAACGGATGGTGTATGTGTCCGTGAAAGCATTCGTCCCCTAGGGCACCAATGAAAAGTGAATGACGTTGGAGAAGATGTATTTTCTCGGACAAGCGCTGGCGTTTGAAGCACAGGACGATATCTGAAACATGCAGGGCGCGTAGGGACATCTCCTTTGAAAATGGACATGACTGAGCTTTGGCTCCCGAATGCATCTACTCGAGGCTGGATGCAGGAGAAGGAAGTCGTGTTTGCTGGTTTTCAGAGTGTACGAATGAGCGATGTCCTCAAATTGATGGGAGTGTGGATGGAAAGACGTAGGCGGAGAAGTTCGGCGGATTCAGGTTAAGTGAGCAGCACAGTCTTGGCATAGGAACGAGGCGCAGTTGGCGGCTGAACAGCTCCACTGCACGTCTTCCAGTCGAAACAGGCGTCGCAGCGCGCTTCATCGCGTGCAACAGAAGACCGCCACCGCGTTACAGCCTGCTTGAGCTCTCTGATATGTTCGGAAGGCTCCCGAAAATCACACTTTCGCCGACCGAGTCGCTGGGCTCCGCGACTGCCCAAAGTTCCAAACTCCTGCACGTTCGCCTAATGCCATGTGACAACTGACGAGCGTGACTTAGGCGAGGCGCTGCTATCACTCGCTCTGCCACGACAGTGAGGTCCTCAACTTGACAACAATGCTGACCTCGAAGAACCTCGCCATCTTTGCAGGACTGTCAGCAGCTTGTGTCACCTTTTACTACCTGCAGAGCACGTCTTTTATCAGCACTCCGTCTGCCGATATGGCCAGTCCATCTAGGCAGCAAGCTCACGAGCCGACGGTCGACGATTTGCGCATCTTCCTCTCACATACCTGGCTCCCAGTGCCGACCGTCAAAGTCACGATTCAAAACACCCACCCCACGGCGACCCTCAGTTTCCTCACTTGGGACACGCCGATCGACAAGTCATCTTTGAACACGGGCGTTCTGCAATTGACTGACGCTGTATCTGGACAAGCAATCGATGGCCCTGGTCTGAAACTCAATCGCCTTTTACCGCCGCCTCGCGATGATGTGATAGAGCTGGCAGCGCAAGATGTTGTAGAAGTGGATATCGAGCTCAAGGCACCATGGATACCAAGCAGCAACAAGTTGGTCAAAGTGCATGCGGAAGGCGCGTGGCGGGCTGTCTGGACAAAGGCGAAAGACGAGGTCACGGATGACGAACTGAACGCTATGAGTGGACCTGGCGTACTGCAAGGACCATTCCGGAGTGTCAGAGATGTTGAGCTGGAACTGTCAGAACGGTGACCGCCGGAACAAGACTTGACGAAGCAATGAGTACGCCGTCTGAGCTCAGTTTTTAATGCGGCGGGTGTTGAGGTAGTGCTTTGAGGACTCAAGGCTGAATGCATGGTTATTACTGAACTTCTTCGGTTTTTCCGGCAATTTTGGACTCAACAACTTCAACGAGCACTCAGAAGCGCAGCACGGCTGACGATCGACCGGTCGCCAGCTCCTCACCTCTGCAACGACATTCAACGTGTGCGACTTGGCAGCTTTCGCGAAGGGCGTCGAGTTGTTGGCTTCGTAGTGCCAAAAGGAAAGCTGCAGGCTTCGGAACGTTGCCTTTCACGTGAAGGCTGAGCACCATGCAGATGATTTCGTGCCTTGCAGCGACTATAGCGCAGAACTTCCTGAAGCGCCCATGACTTCTTGCTTTACGTCAGGAGTCTCCTCGCCCGTGCTGTATCCATACTAGCAGGCAGGAGCCCAGCCGGCCTCGTGCAGAAGGGAATACGAAACCTCAACACTGGAACTGCGGAAGACGCAAGTCGAGAAGTGCAAAAGATGGGTCTCGTGTCGAAGTGTCACAAGTAAATGCAATTTTGTGCAACTCTAGCAGTCTTGACAGGAAAGGTACGTCAAGATGCAAACACTGCATAAAGCTATGACTTCGTACTACCACACCACACTGAGCTACCTCGGTTGCCGCGCCTAAGCGTGACGGCACTAGGAGTGCCCGGGTTGGATCTACGCGCTCACGGCGCTCTCAGCCGCGAGCACTTCTTTACAAGGCGTAGGGCTCTGCGATGCTGACTCTTACTGCAGCTGAGCCCTGGTCTGCAATGGCGTCTAATTTGCTTCTGGAACGCCACACTCCTGTCAGCAGGAATGGGCAAGTGCTGTCAATATACTGCACGAACCAGCAAGATGCTGACAGAAGCAGATAGCTTTGGTCAATCATATCGCCAGCTGCGCCTGGCCGAGAGACCCGACCTCATGATCATTGTAGACAGCGCTGTGCCACTCAGATTCAAGGCAGTGCTCTCACTTGTGTCTGGACAGGCGGCTAAATGGACGTTGGTGAGGCGCATGAATCCGCGAGCGAGGGGGGCAGCAGCTGTGGCCAGAATCTGTACTCCTTCATGCTGACATACAGGCTGCCGCATGCATTCAAGTACAGCTGCCAAGACAGACAAGGAGCAGCCGTTTTGGGACGTTGGAAAGGATAAATAGGGACAGCACACGTGCGAAATGGTCTTGGTGGAGTAGGGCTGTGAACAAAGCCCTTGTGCAATCACCAACGCTTAGGGCGTCCAGGAGAACGAGAACGTTGAGCACGTGGAAGAGTACGTCGCGAGCCACGCGAGCCAGAACGGACGCCATTGTCATTACGGTACTGCGCGACTTCATCCTCGAGGAGCGTGGCGCGATGACGGGCGGATGAACAGCACAAGACGGCGTGCCGCAGAAGCGAGATTTGCACCACGCTGTGCGCCACCGGCATCGTGAATGTGAAGCTCGCGGCGAGAATGTGAGGCATACTCAGCCCTTGGCACAAGAGGACAATGTCGATTGTTTGTGATATTGTGACGACAGCCTGGTTCTGGTATGCTGGCTCTTGAGTAACATGGCACAAGCCAGGATATGCTGTGCTGCCGCGACGGGACCGATGAACAGGTAGGCTGTCGTAGATGTGTACGCCCTAGCAACCGGCAGACATGCAGTGCAATGACGAGTCGCCTCTGCGCAGAGGCGAGAGAGTGGAGTGGGAAATCAATAGCAGCTGAGGCTTGGCGGGTCGGATAGCTTCGCCGAAGTCGTGCCTCTCTCGTCTCGTCTCCTCCCCAAGCGACTCGACCTCCACTCGTCATCACTTTTCAATACTCTCCGCTCCGCACCCGGCGCGGCCCACGACGGCCATTCCGAGGGCAGCGTTGTAAGTCCGAGACAGAGGCTGAATGGCGCGGCGCTCAGCGGAGGGTCAGCAGCCACCGCCGCCAGCGCGCGGAGCGGTCGTTGTATCCGTCGTCCATCGGTTGCGAGCCTCGCGGCAGCCACAACATGCGCATTCCCCCAGTCGCGCATATCCCTCGCATGGATGCCGCAGTGCGCGATACCGCTTCGAGCGTGACACCGATCCAAACCGGATTGGCCCTTGACGGCACTCCACTTGTTCACAGATGCCGTGCTCATCGACGGTGACAGGTACAGCGAAATTGCCAGGATCCGGATTCCAGCAGCCGACGACCACAAGGCCTCCACCCAAGAAGACGAGCATTGATATCGCGGCATCACAAGACTATCGACGCGCTCAGCGTCTGGGTGCCAGCATGCATTCGGCCAGCCCGAACACTGCACACGCCGGAGGCGGTCACGGGCAGCAGCTCCTTCACCTAGAATAAAACTGGTTGTTCTTGGCTCTCACTCGCCAAGTCCCACATCATCCACTGGCTTCTTGGCCCCCAGGCTTCGCTGTCTTTGCACCATCGAAACCCTTGCCGCAAACGCTACTCCGCCGTGCCGCACCATGGAGAGCCGTATCTGGGCAACGGCCACTCGAACGACTATCCCAAGTCACTGCACGCATCATCGACTGAACCAGGCGGAGCGCTCGCCATCCCAAGTCAGCGATGTCTAAACGCAGCGCTCGACCAGAACTCGCCAAGGGGTCGTCGTGGCTGTGGGCAGGGTTGCATGCGCATCCAGAGCGCATTGAATGAGTCTCCACTCGCTTACCGCGCGCTGTGCTCGCGAGTCCGGGATGCTTGCCCAGGCGGACTTTGGATATCGGAGAATTGTTGACTGCTATTACGGGATTCTGCATGATCTGATGGCCTGCAGCTGAGTCTTGGGTCGCTACGAATGGCGGACTGCACAGATGCTATCGTCAACAAGCCAAGCGCATGGCTGATGGTCGGAACCCACTTCTATTTGCACAACAACGAACAGGTGGGTTGCTGTGGCACGTATATCTACATCCATCTGCCTCGCCATTGTTATCTTTTGCTATCAGCATCTGCACCAGTCGCTTTCACACATTCGCTCACTTGCCGCAATCGCCTACACAGCGATCACTGTTTAATCTTCGAAAACTCCCAAATACATAATCAAGATGCACTTCACCACCATGGCGCTCGCTGCGGCGACTCTTGCTACTACTGCTCTCGCTGCTCCAGCACCAGAGCACCCAATCTGGAGAAACGAGTGGAAGGGCCAGGGCTACGGCAAATGGGGCAAGGGCAAGCAGAACGCACCTCAGCCACCCACTCCAACATCGCCACCTACCACTGGCACTGACTGCCCTGCGCCTGCGCCAACTCCATCATTCTGCTTGAACGACGAGCAGGCCGCTGCTGGTGCCGAGATCTTCCGCCGCCTCATTCAAGACTACTCTGACGAGCTTGCCCTCGAGGCTCTCACCGAGGACTTCATCGACTACTCTTCTGCTGTCAACATCATCCGCAACCGTGGTAACGCTGGTCCTTTCGTCGTCAACGAGATCTCGTTCGCCAGCCGTGCAGCTTTCATGGCCGCTCAAGGAGCACAGCCACTCATCCCATTCGACACCCTCAACACCTATCACGGCTGCGATCACGTTGCTACTCGCTGGCAAACTCTCCGCTCTGCCAATGGTCAGCCAACTGAGTCCAACAACATTGTGAGTAAATCCGTGATAGTTCTATTCAACAGATCGCTAACGAACATAACAGCCTGTCGTCGGTAATGGTATCCTCGTCGTCGTCCCAGACGCCAACAACACCTACGGTTTCCGTGTCAAGGAGCTCTACTCCGAGTTCAACGCCGCCGCATGGCTCGTCAACAACGGTGTCTTCACCCCTTCGGCAGTCACTACCTCCAACTTCCCCGAGGCCACTGCCGGCCCAGCCAAGCGCGACCACGAGTCCCTCGCCCACCTCATGTCCGGTGCTGGCCGCATGATCTAAACGACTTTTGAGTGTGTGACGACATGACGGCATGAGTTTTCGCGACAACGAGACATGGTTGTGGTTCATCAAAAATTATATTGCATCACTTGGCGTTTTGACACTCGGGCAGAGCTCCGGCTCGCTTTTTACATTGTTTGTTTATGATCAGCAGGCATGAGCGTTTTCAGCTCGCATTGGCCGCATTTTCCGTACGCAGATAGCATGTGTTATGATAACTTTGACTTCTTCTCCATCAAGTTCGCATTCGTTTCTGCTTGGTTGACTTTCACTTGCATATGTAGTCTTACCAATGCGCCCAAATCCCACGACTCGCAATCTCACCAACATGTCCATCTGGATCAAGGAAATACACGCTATAGCCTCCCCGTGGCCATTCCATCTTCCCGTGACATTCTACACCTTTTTCCTTCAAATATTTCTCCCATTGTAATGCTTCAGCTTTGGTTTCTACTGCGAGACAATAATGTTGTCGAAGCTGTTCTCCGCCTTCGACTAAAGCTTTCATGACTTTCTCTTCGGGGCCGTGTTTTGGTACGCAGAGATCTGGTTGTGAGGGAATGGGATATACGTCTTCGTTTGTTTGGCCTAGGGTGAAGAGGAGAATTGTGGTATTTCCGACGGGGAAGACGGACATGCGTTCTTTGAGGATTGCGGGTTTGAGTTCTTCGGGTTGTAGGCCGAGGATGGAGGTGTAGAAGGTGTTGGATTTTTGGATGTCCTGTTGTGAGAATGGGTGGAGTTAGCTCTCTTTGTGTGGGTGTAAGGAGGGAATGGGTATGGGTTTCCGGTATTGGGTCGATGTATTCTGCTTGAAGGTGGAGATGGTTCTTTGCAATTCGTGTTGTTGTTCTGCCTGGGCAAGATCGTGTGTGGTACAGACCTTGACGTAGAGACACAGTTCGAGTACATGTGAGATCGCTGATGGTGGTGGCATGATGAACAAGATTTGTCAGAGGAAGATTCAAATCCTAGTATGAGCTTGGTGTTCTTTTCGTTCTTTGGTCTCTGAATGATTACTCAAGTGGTGCTGGAGTGCTTGCTTGATGATTGTAGAGGTTGAGAGAACCTCAGGGCAGTGTTCTTCGGATGTTGTTGCGAAAGCATAATAACATCGAGCCATGAACATCGAACATTCGACGTTGCTGAAGCGGGGTGAATGCATCATCTCGCAGGCATTTGTATGGTGACAAGCTAGGTTCACGCGCAGAAGACAACCTTGTGCATGCCGTGACCGGCCGTGTGGATTTGGATAGGCACTCGGCTTCTTAGGGTTATTTTGTCGACGCTGCTTGGCGAGCAATCGGTAAGACGGGTAGCTGACGCCAAGGCTAGACTGCCTACTTTGCTTTGTGGATGAAGTGGCTATGGGAGGCATTTTGTGATCAGATGTATGTTGTAGCTACTGGACTTGTTGCAATCATGCACAACCCTGCCAGAAAACACTCCGAATCTGAAATCCCTGATGAATATCAGTGCATTCACGGCCATGTCCTGGCAGTGGAGCGCGAAAGAGCAGCAATCACGAGCATCGAGCTTGCAAGTGCATGTTCTGGCATCTGGCCACCAGCTTTCCGATTGCACGTCCTCACCGACTAAGGACCAGCCTCCTTCGGATGCTGCGCGAATCCAGCCTGATGGTTCAGCCAAAGAGCGAGGCCAGGGAAGCAATATCTGCCGCTGACAAATTGTCCGCTGCGGCGCCCGGTGGGGCGCGGAACGATGACAGTCGTTGATAAGACATGTCCTTTGGAGTGGACTGTCAAAGAAGGAGAATGAAGCTTGGCGTCGACTCAAATCCAAGGGTTGCGCTGATATTGATACGTTCGAAGTGCCATAGCCCGGCTGTATTGATAGCCTCCAACGCTTCGTCATCACAAGCAAAATGCGCCCTTGCTACACCTGTCATCCGGCTCCATGCCGTTGAGTGTCGCAAGCGAAGTGCAGAGCCATTTGCCATCCTTCTTGTGAAACGTCAACACACAAACTCCAGGGCGGATCAGACCAGGGGGTGCATTGTGGGCTTCATAATTGATATGGCAGTCTGCATGCGTGTCGTCGACGTAGTTCACGATGTTTTCCGTGATTTGAATGAAATACTCCGTGTAGTGGCCCCTGTAAGCGTGGTATCCTTCGATGTATCCGTCGAAGGTGAAGACCTTCTGTGAGCTCCAGAACGGATGTGTTGCCTGGAAGGCTTTGATGTCATGCGTTTCATAGACTTGTGGGTTGTCGAGAGTGAAAGTGTCCTTGTTCATTGCATCGATCATTCTGTCTACGGCAGTCTTGATTTCCTGGACATCTCGCTCCCAGCGCTGCGTGATTTCGTCAATAGGGTTCGTCATGTTTTCTGCGGAGTGTGTTGTGTTTTGGTAGACTAGAAGCGTGGACAGGCGGCTCTTTGTAGTCTGCGATGCAGGCCTGTTCGGATATCATTTCGAAACTCCCTACCGCCCTGGATCGAAGGTGAGCGCAGGGAACAGTGAACTCTAACTTCCGGGCCGAGATGGTTCGAGAAGCATTGGACCTTGGATGTACTCAGGCATATGGCTAGCACCTCCTAGCGTGAGATGGAGCAGCATGATGTGCATCGCTCATGAACCGGCAGTCGGCTGATGCTTCGCTGACGAATGGTGACTCGGAATTTACTGACTGTCGTAGAAGGTTGCTGTGGTGCAAAATGCCAAGATGTATGTCGGCGTCGCCGTGAACGCATCCCTGCTACCCAGGTCAGAGATTCTCGGCGGCATTTCTTGCTTGAAGCATTTCGCATAGGTCGACAAGAGGCAAGGTCGGCAGAATTTGTAACCTCGAAACCTGTGCAGGCAGACACACTGACCTGGACAGTTGTTGCGATCTGGAGTCGTGGGGAGGCAGTGTTTGCGTTCTTGCTGGCACTTACATGGTGCTGCTTGTGTGTGTGGAAGTCTGACATGCCCTCAGGCACATGCATTGCCGGTGAACCGATTGACCACACACTCAGTCCAGCGCGAGCGGCGATCGTGCGGATTGCGTGTCATCGCCTGGCGGACAGGCGGCATTATTGCAAAGGGCAAGCAAGACGCGGACTTAGGGCATCGAGCCCGACTGCGCCGCATGCCTTGTTTTCAAGGGATGGCACGCAACATATGTGCGGCGCAATGCTGGCAGCACGTGGCCGTCGAGCGCGTGACAGCTGTGCGTTGTTGCTGGCGTGATGGCGTGAGAAGGACGGAGACGACGGATCGAGTCGGCGAAAACGGCGCTCTCCGATGACTTTCAGGGGGCGATTCAATTCATCCTTCGCAGCACATCACACCACATGCTATCGTGATGTGCCATGCCATACGAATAGTCTGCGGACGGTGCGACGTGCCATGTGCCAAACTCGTAGGAATAGCAGGTCCTTCTTCCAGCTAAGCGCGCATGGTGAGTGGTATATCTTGCATCTCGAGTGCCGCCTGTTTGGAAGCAGCATCACACAACAGCATCAGCATCAACAACAGCGTAGCATCCATTGGATAGAAAGACCATCAGTCCCACTACTCCCCATCAGATCTCCACATCAGATAGGAGAACAAGTACCGGAAGTCGGCCAAATCATGTCCATCGCAACAATCAAAGCTCTCACAGGCATTGGTGCACTTGCATCATTGCCCATGGGCGTAGCATATATCATGACAGCGGACCATTCAGCGTGAGTAAAGTCCTTTTTCCATCCTAGACCGCGACCCCATCTAACATTCGGTATAGCCTTTCATGGGGGACCAGTGCTGCTCACCGTATAGAGAACCGATTCAAGGTCTTTGATGATCGCGCCACGGACTCCTTACCCGCAGAGCGACGAAGGCATCGACACCAGAAGATCCGCGAGGCAATGGCTGCCGACCTGTCAAAGACGAATGTGGCGCTGTGAGAGTTAACTGTGGGACGACGGCGGGTCCTGTCTCGATCGCACATGAAAGCAGTGAAGTGCGTTGACAGGCATTGTCGCAGGAGTTCGGGAGGTGCCTATTGTTTTGGAGATACCATTGTACCGGTTTGATATATTTTGCAGTTGTAATGGAGCAAGAGCTCTTCGGCCTTCACACAGTCACGTCCAGTGTTTCCGTCTTCGGCAGTCTTACCATTCCTCAACAGGATGAAGCATAGCACGAAGATCGTCGGCCGGGTGTTCAAACTCGGAGCGACGTCAAATAATGGGGATGCAGAACATGCTGCCGGTTGGCAGGTGATGTGATGTGCGAATGAAAGAAAAGAGTTCGGACGGAGTCTCGATAGAAGGTGCGGGATGAGGCTCTGCTCTACCGAGGCACTAGCAGGGATTCCCGAAAGCTTGATCGGGTACTCGACAAGTGTTCGAGGAATGTCTGCCCGCTGCAAGTGGGAGGTGAACGATTTCTTGTGCCTTGCATATGCACATTCTCTTACCCACTGCACAATTCGTCCTTCGCTTGTGACAGCTGTTCAACAACGCCGCATCGACATGATCGCCTAGGCAGTCCTCGCTCTATCCCGCTGCCATCCATCGACCATCAATGTCCACTTGTCGTCTGTGATCCGACCAACATTCAGCAACCATGCTTCTCTTTTCCACACTTGCGCTGCTCAGCTTGTTCGCTGTTGCATTCGCGCAAGACTACTACAAGGTCAGCTGCCTTGCAAGCAAAGTCGCAATTCTACGCTCACACTTTGGCAGATCCTGGGACTCGATAAATCCGCCGATGAACGCGATCTGAAAAAGGCCTACCGTCGCCTCTCGAAACAGTACCACCCCGATAAGAACCCCGAAGACGAGACAGCGGCCAAAAAGTTCGTCGAAGTCAGCGAAGCCTACGAAACGCTTGCCGACAAGGAATTGCGCCAAATTTACGACAGACATGGAGCCGAAGGTGTCAAGCAACATAAAGAGCGCGGACAAGGTGGGCGAGGAGGAGGCAGGAGCCCGTTCGATATTTTCAATCAATTCTTTGGTGGCGGTGGTCACTTCGGCCATGGGCGGCGACAAGGTCCCGACATGGAGGTGCGCATACAAGTCAGCTTGAAGGACTTCTACACTGGCGCCGAACACGAGTTCAAGATTGAGAAGCAAGTCATTTGTCCCAAGTGCGAAGGCACAGGGAGCGAAGATGGACATAAGGATACCTGTCACAAGTGCTCGGGACATGGGATGGTGATCCAGAAACAAATGCTAGCGCCTGGTATCTTCCAACAGATGCAGATGCAATGCGACATGTGTGGCGGCAAAGGCGAGATCATCAAGCACAAGTGCAAGACCTGTGGCGGCTCGAAAGTTGTGAGAAGTGAGGAGGCCTACGACCTGACTGTGGAAAAGGGCATGCCGAGAAATGGCCGAGTGCAGTATGAGAACGAAGGCGACGAAAGTCCTGACTGGGAGGCCGGAAGTCTGATCGTGCAGGTTGGAGAGAGTGATCCAAGGCTTGCGACGGACGAGAAGGACCGCACAGATGGAACATTTTTCAGACGAAAGGGCGAGAATCTGTTCTGGAGGGAGATCCTGTCATTGCGAGAGGCGTGGATGGGAGACTGGACGCGCAACCTCACACATCTGGACGGGCACGTGGTGCAACTATCTCGAAAACGAGGCGAAGTCGTTCAGCCGGGGCACGTCGAGATCGTCCAAGGCGAAGGCATGCCCATCTGGCAAGACGAGAATGGAGGATACGGCGCATTGCACGTGGAATATGTTGTCGTACTACCTGATCAGATGGAGAGCGGCATGGAAAAGGACTTTTGGAGCACATGGGAGAAGTGGAGGAAGAAGATTGGTGTGGATTTGCACAAGGACTCTGGGAGACCTGCGGTGCCACACGATGAATTGTGATATGAATTGTAGTTGCAGTATTTTTAGCGACACGTTGTAGAGCATAGAGTGCCTCTGGAATATGATTCTGATTGAATATTGCCATCTCCCAACGGCGCGCCTCGAGATGAAGATGGAGGAAGAGCTACTGCCGGAGAGCAACATGGAAACCATAATCAAAATTGCGTGGCTCTCCTGTGGACTCGAATACTTCCTCCCTCCTCGTTCCTCTGTTTTCTGGAGCACCCTCAAGGCACTATGTCTCGCGAAGCGAATTAGGCGCGTACAAGGGTTGCGAGGAGAGAGCATAAACTGCCGTTGTTTGCGAGTTTCCATTTTGCTGTCTACAGCGAGGACGAGCTCAGCTAGAGCTTCTCACCACCTTTGGACCAATTTGGAAGCAGGATCCTTCTTCCGACTATCTTGCCGTCATCGAGATCTTGAAGCGTTTGTGGCATGTCGTCAATGGAACCGGTGCTGGTCTCAGGCTTCAAAACGCCTTCTTTGAGCAGCTGCAGCACTTCATTCAACCCGTTCATGTCTCCGCAAAACGAGCCTTTGATCGTCAGGCAATTTTGTGTCACAAGATATGGCACGACGGGGACTGCTGGGCTCAGCAGTCCGACCATGACGATGAGGCCAACTGGGCAGATGATTTGTTGCGCGAGACTTATGGTTTCTTCGTGTCCGACGAAGTCGATGACAGTGTCGATTACGATGCCCTTCTCGGCAAGGATCTCTGGGATGGGTTTCGATTGAGTCTCAGTCGTGCAATACGCATCTTCGGCTTTAAGTCCCATGCGAATGGCGAAGTCGAGTGCCTCTTGCCGCTTGTCGAAAGCTATGATACGCTTGACTCCGAGGTGGAGGGCTGTCTGTAAGCCATTTAGACCGAGACCACCTAGTCCAGTGATGGCAATGATTTGATCCGGTTTCACATCAGCTGTGTACTTAACAGCATGATAAGCTGTCAGCAACGCGTCTGCAGCAATACACGCGTGTTCTGCTGGCACACCATCTGGCACTTTTGCGCAAGCGTCTGCCCGGACTGCTAGATACTCCTGCATGAAGCCATCGTATCCAAGGCCATACCCACCCTTTCCAGAAGTTTGGCAGATACGTTGGTACCCCGATTGGCAAGGCAGACACTTCCCGCAACCCGGAACTGGGTGTATCGCTACCATGTCTCCGACTTCAAATGCGGACTTGTCGACTTCGGTTCCTATCTCGATGACTTCGCCTGCTCCTTCGTGACCGAGTGTCCACTCTTTCAGACATTGTGCCGGAGCCTCTGGTAAGTCTCTGATGAGACAGTCGCTGTGGCATACTCCCATGGCTTTGATTTTGACGAGGAGGCCATTGGGTTCGACCTTCGGAAGTGGAATGTCCTCCTTGTGAAGCACCTTATCCGCTCCTGGTGTGCATTTCCAGGCCCAAACGGATTCTGGTAGAGTTGGCATTTCCGATTGTTGCGGAATGTTCGAGCTAACCGAAGTTCGAAATTGTTCTGCGATTTTGTTGAAGCTTAAGCAGAAGCAGATTTGTGAGGCTCGGTGATATTGGAAATTGTGGTGAAGAGGTGAGATTCGGTGATGAGGTGGATTTCTCGTCGCCGAGCGATTGACAGGTAATGTTCTTGTCGAATCTCCGCTGTCAATGTAAAAGCTACCGAGGCTGCAGTGTTGAGAGCTCTCAAGCTAAGCTCCGCCACTTTGAAGCGTTACGAATTCGTTCCTTCGTGTATAGACGATCTGATCCCACGCAACGACTTTTTTGCTCCATTTAGGGCTGAACCTAGTGGCTCCTGCTGATCCAAACGTCGTATGGTCGACTTCAAGTCTGGATCTCGTCGCAGATATTCTTCATCTCGTTCAATTCTGGCGCAGAAAGCGAGCGCGGAGAGCTGCTTGGCGATATTCCCTGGCACTACGACTGATATCTTGTTGGAGAACAAGTGTCTCACACCGAACCCACGAGTTGGCATGATTCGTCGTGCTGTTCGAAAGCTGGTGAAGAAACTCGATCGTGGAGAGATGTCCTACCTACTCGCCGTCAACAGCCCATGGAGTTGACCTACCCGAATACACGATGTGTCGTCGTCACATCGCTAGACTAGCCGTCTGCAGTGTTTGAGGCCGTGCATCTACTGTCTGCGCCCATGGTACTGATGTGCAGCTCACGACAGGTCGCGAAGAGGCGAGAGATTATCGTAGAAGTTGGCTTGGGCCAGCGCTACTGCTATGTAAGAGGCATTGGTTGACGAGGGCATGTCTCTTGATGCGCGAAAGGGCCTCAGACCTTGATGTCTTGCAGTTTCGCCTCGGTATCTTTTTAAGTTTCGACAGTCGCGCGTCGCGCTACAGGAATCACAGCGTCACAGCGTCACCGTGGCGTGGAGTTGACCAGATGGTTTTGTGGTGCTTGATCCCGCCGAATGTAAGTCTCACTTCTCCCTCGTCCACACATCGATAGCGAGGATGTTTGGTCTTTCAGCGATCGTGCTGCTGCTTGCCAGCATTGCCTTGTCCGTCGCTACGCCTCTGCACAGCCGCGATGCGGGAGGAGACATCTTGACCAACGACCTTTTGAGGCTGGACGCTGCGATCAGAACCATTACCTATGCTGCTGGAAACTACACTGGAGGAGTGGCGCAGTATCAGCCCATCCGCGAATCTTTCTCCGAAGTCAACCGTACGAACCGCATTGCATATTTCCGTGCCATGCAAATCAAGCCACGTGAGTATTCAATTTCAATCTTCGGCAGAGCAGAGAGGGTCGGGTATCATCGATGTTGCATCTTCGGAGCTTGGAGTGGACGGACTCGCTGCAGCTGCAGCAGTTGCTCCAGCTGATCCATGGTTGATCGAATGCCTGCCAAAGCAAGGCGAGTCATGCCTGTACAGAAGAGCTGCGCTAATCTCAGGATACAGAGAACATTGCAGATAGCAACCGCATCGTTGCCGTCGTCGCGAATCCAATTGCACCAGATATCACGCAGGCTGTGGATGCTCTGATCGCGAAGAAGGCTTTGATCGAGGAAGCTGGCCTCTCAAAGGAAACTGCGGCAGGCCTGAACTTGATCTCGTACGACCACGATACTCTGAGTCTGGCAGTGGGAGCCAAGCTGAGCCCAGTCACGGTGCCCGCAGCTGCAGTGCCCGTGCTACAAATCGACCTGGACTGGAGGCGAGGAGTGGTGGCGTTTGGTGGTCTGCCGTTAGCACCACTGACGATGTAGAAGTAGTTGGACGAGACTGGACAGACACGCGGACAGAGGCTCTTCAGTCGCCGAGTATTGAAAATGGAGCAGGTGCTCTGGTCGTAGACTCCGTAGAGTGGCAAGCGACATGAATATTGCGTGAAGAACGCGACCTTTGGCGCAGAGAAACACCAACCACGCCGATCCTGCCCTAGCGTTTCCTTGGCGCGTCAAACAACACACTTCGTTTCTCTTGTGCTCTCCCCCTCAAACAATCGTATTCTCTGATCCAAGACCCCCATCAGCTGGCAAAGTGTGCATTTCGTGCATACAGCATGCAATCACGAGGCAGAATCTCGAAGTGTCGTCAGCACTGACCCGTCGACCGTTTTCCCCCAGTGGCACCGTGGAGCGACCACGGGGACCACAGACAAGCCCACAGATCTGACTTCATCCTCGAGATCCACTTCTTCGCGAAGGAAAATCTTCTGGCCCATCATCGCATCGATTCTTCTTAGCGAATCTCTGGCTTGCCCGTCCAAATTGTTGGGAACGCGCGCGTGGCGCGTCAGCGTGCGGCTCAATCGTGCTGGCGTGCTGCTACACCGCTCACAGCTAGCTTCATGCATGTGAAAGCAGCGGCAACTCTCAACCACGTTGCGCATCTGAGATCCTAAGCGGCAGTAGGTCCGGCGCCAACCAACAGCACGGATACCATCATCGTGGCGTACGTGGCCGCTGTGCAGGAGCAGAGAGATGAAAGAACGGCACCAAGAGCTCTTCTCTGTCCACGTTCCATACCCACCAAAGTCCACCCAGTCCACCCCGTCCCTTGGGACCGCTTTTCAGACATCATTGCTTATGGGTCGACGACAGACCTGGACCGACGTGCTCGCTGCAATCTCTTATACCCCATCGCCCTTCCCCATATCTTTCCTCCGCGTTCATTGCCATATCGACTATCTTACCTTGTCTTCTCCCCCCTTTCTACTTAACGAGCATCTTCCAAAATGGCTCCAATAGCACTGACCCCACCAAACGAGAGAGCAGAGATGGGTAACGGCGACCAGAACATCGATGTCTCCAACATGGGAACAACGAGAAAGATCATCTGCTTTTCTGGTGAGCAACACTTGTGAAGTGTCGATTGAACCCATGACTGATGAGCGAGGCCAGACTTCGATGGCACAATATTCATGCAGGACACTGGACACATCCTCTTCAATGCATTCGGATGCGGCTTCGAGCGACGGGCGGAGCTGGAGGAGCAGATCAAGAGCGGCGAACGCAGCTTTAGAGATGTCTCGGAGGAGATGTGGGGTTCGCTCGATGTTCCTTTCGAGGATGGTTTCAAGGCTCTTGAAGAAGGCCTCGTGGTTGACTCTGGCTTCAAGCAGTTCCATGAGTTCTGCAGGAACAATCGCATTCCTTTCAATGTCATCTCCGCTGGCCTGAAACCCGTGCTACGCAGAGTCCTCGACCACTTCCTTGGCGAGGAACAAAGCAGTGGAATCGATATCGTCGCGAATGACGCCGAGATCGATGCGGAAGGCCACAGCTGGAAGCCTGTGTGGCGCCACGAGACGGCCCTTGGCCACGACAAGGCTCTTTCGATCGATGAGTACAAGTCAAGGGCCAAGCTGGAGAGTGAAGATGGCACAGTACCACTGGTAAGTGATTAGAGTATCCTGCGGGCTGTTGTATACTTACTGTCCTGAACAGATTGTCTTCATTGGCGATGGCATATCAGACCTTGCCGCTGCAGGTCAATCTGACGTTCTCTTCGCCCGTAGAGGACTCGCGCTTGAGAAGCATTGCATTGACAACAAGATCGAGCACATCCCCTACGACAGCTTCGCAGACATCCAACGAGAAGTGACCAGGATCGCCAAGCTCGACGAAGCCAAGACCAAGGGTGAAGGCCTGCCAGTCAAATTCAACCCAAGGGCAAACATGTGGAGGAAGATCAGCTCTAGGAATGCTGTGCCTACGTTCAAAGCCATGACACCTAGTGTTGAGGATCGGGCATTCCTCTGGCCTGAGACCTTCACTGAGCAGAAGAACGGAACAAAGCCAGTAGCTGTGGCTACGATTGCTTGATTTGGCGTTGCTCCGATTTACCAATAGAACGATAAACAGCACTTGTAATTTGGTATCACCCGCCATCCTTCGTACGTTCTGTACTGTCCTGCAGATCGCGTGGAGTTACCCAAGCCGGTATAGTGTCGAGATACTGATGAAATGAATTACCTTTTGAGAATTTCACAGCAGTCCTGTTGATGCAATTCCTGCTCCGAAACGAAACTATCAGCGAGGACACTGTCCATTGCATGCACCAGTGCAGTTGAATCCAATCGTGTTCTCCACTGCCTCACAGAGGTAGGAGTAAGATGGGATGTCCTGGTCCAGCGCCCACAGTTCATTATCAAAGAGATTGATGTTCGAGCATGGCGCTTCTGCCGAGCACTGCAATGTTGCGACACGGTCGCCCTTGAGTGTGCCTCTCGCATTGCCCCAATGCATGTCCGAAACCTACACGAGTGTTAGCAGTGATCAGTGTTGGAGGCGTGGGTGAGATGCTTGCCTTGAAGTCAGAAGTGTTGCAGTCTCCTCTCTGCCCATTGTAGGAAGTGCATTGTGAGATCGCCCAGGCGAGATTAACGTCGTTCAGCTCGAAGTTGGTGAACGTGATGTTCTTCGCCCAGCCGAGCCCTCCGCCGCCTCCATTCGGGGGAAAGCCTTTGTTCTTGCCTGTCCATGTCTTCACTCGGCCTCCGTAGCCTGTATTGAAGCATTTGATGTTGTGAGCAGTAATGTTTTCGATGACTTCAATTTGGCCAGGATATTGTCCAATGCTTCCCATCGCCAGAGACTGTCCATTGTAGAAGGTGCAGTCTTCAATGTAAATGTTTGTGCTATTCTGCTTCATGCTGATGCTGTCGTCTCCGTTGTCGATTGTCCATCGTAGGAAAGTGATGTTGTTAGCGTATACTGTGTCTACGCCGTCTGTGTTGACATTGGCGCGGAAGTCTCTCGTATCACTGGTGGCGTTGATGAAGATGTCTTGTAGCAGCATTTTCTCCGACCGAGCGACGGTCATAGTCCACATTTGAGGTTTGATGAAGCGAAGGCCCTCGATTACAGCATTCTTTGTGTTTGTGATCAAAAGAGAATGTGGTCGACCATGCCGATTGGAGACTCCCTGGTTGAAGTCATACCAGGCTTGACCGTTGCCATCGATAGTACCGTAGCCATTTCCAAAGAAGTGCAGATTCTCGCCGCCCAGATGCCAGGCAGATGTCTGGTTTTGGAAGCCGATGGGCATCGAGTTCGCTAGCCAATACGGGATGTTGGTGTCCCACAGCATGGTTCCGCGGAGCTCGATAGTGACGTCCTTCAAGCCTGTCGTGTTCATGATGGAGCCGATGTAGTAAGTGGTGTTGTCAAAGACGATATGGCCATCTTCTTTGCAGTCCTTGAAAGCTTGGAGGATAGCGGGAGCATCGTCGCCCTTGGGATCGCCACCTGCTGGCACATTGCACGTCTTACTTCTCTGTGGCCACGGCTCATCGTGCGAGTACGGCGGTCCTTCTTGTACCTCAGAGGGAAACCAGCAACCATTCAGGCCAAGACATTCGCAGACATATGGGTCGTATCTGTCGGAGTTGCATTTGTTGTCGCTGTCGGCGACGAAAGCAATCTCGGTCTCGATGGATCTGGTAGCTGTAGTATGCGGCTTATCCAGAGCCTCTGAAGAAGTGAACTATTCGCCAGTCAGTTCACGTCGTCGGCCACAACAGACGAGGGATAGACCTGGGGAGACAATGGGGCCTGAGACCAAGCCAGAAGTCTGGCGAAAAGACCGCGCATGTCGACACCAAACGAACGTGTGAGTGACCGAGCACTGTGGTGAGGCTCGAGAAAGAGTCGAAACGTCAAGGAGGCGACGTCGATTGCGGTGCGAAACGTTCAAGACCGGAAAGTGAGATTTATTGAAGGTGTTTCCATGGTTCTTCCCGGCTCAGCCAGCCCCGCTCTGCACAAGGCAAAAAGGCTGCTGATCGTCACTGCACATTCACCACATTTCGAGGTCATCTGCTTCAGTTCAGGGGTGGAGCGCCTGCATGAACGCATCCTCTGCATTGACGCCGCGTCGGCAGAAAGAGCCGACGCATGTCCTTGCGGCGAAGGGAAGTGCAGTGTCGCGTGGGACGACTTCTTCTGGTCCACCAAACGAGCAGACTTGGCATTGTAGACTTCCCATGAGCACCCGGCTCCAATTCGACCTACATCCCACTCGTGTTCAGTCATCAAAAGTTTTGTGATGTCGCAGAACGAGGTTTGCAGGGTACTGTGCCTCGAGACCTCGTGACACAATGAATTGCAGTGTTCCTGCACGATCATTCACCAGATGTCTGTCTGCAGTAATCAAAAGATGCGATCAATTTATCAATGCCTACTGGAGAGGGGTCACGATATGGTGATAGTAGGTACACTGAGTACGAGACTGGAGCTGCTACAACGCAATCAATCCAAACAAAGTCCAGATTCGTACAACTACCATCGGCTACACAGATGGCAAAGCTAGACCTTGGTACTGCTGAGAAGAAGTTACATTAGCTACTCTGTCGGTTTCCTCTGCTGCTGCAACATTCACCGAGCAACCTTCCGGGTATCCCAGTTCTGCGAAACCAACTCCAAGCACCGAGCATTTACAGAAAAAGCATCTCTGCGCAAGTCACCTCCTCAACCTTGGTCCGCTTTCCACTTCGAATTGAAGTTCTCTTGATCCCATTCTCGCCAGTGACCTTGAAATGCTAGAGTCCTGCCAGAACAGCTACTCCAATAGCGCCCGCCGCAATCATCGGAACCTGGAGCGAGGAAGCACCTCCAGTATATCTTTGCTGTTGAGAAGAATTGGTCTCACTTGCTTGGTTGTCCGGACTCGATTTCGTTGCAGTGCCAGCTGCGGTATTAGAAGTTTCGTTTTGTCTCGCTCCTGGGGCGATGGGGTAGGCTGAATTCCTTCTCTGCATGTCGATATTCGGACAACAGTTTGCCAGGGCGCCGAGGGCAACACAGGTGAGGATTGTGAGGCGCATTGTTCTTGTCAGTCGGCTCGTCCGACGATTATCGCTAGGAGACCTCGGTGTGTGGGCGTCGCTGTGGAATCCAGGTATTGCGAAAAGTGTCAAAGACTGATAATGCTGTGGGAGAATGGGATGTCGATGGGACAGGAGAGTCGTGTCGTATCATATGTTTGATTCCCGAAATCAATCGTCCCGTTTGCGAGCTAAGCAACCTGTCTGACTTTTCAACTCTACCTACCCAAATTTCATTCTGATTGTGCTTGAACTGCGGAGATGAATTCGACAGCCACGAAACAACGAGAGTTCAACTCTATGCTCCATCACTTACTTACATAGAGTTGCAACACGATGCCCAATCCGGTGAAAGTTGCGTTTCAGCTTGCTTCAGGCAGAGCAATTCTCCCCGGCACGAAGCAAGCAAGAAGAATGTCGATAGAAGGGACTGTCAGGGAAGACTTGGCGCCCAATCTCAGCACATGATAGACTTCAACGTAGCAATCCTTTGCCAATCTCCATCTAGAGCCTAGCTTTCAAGCCAAGCTCTTTGATGAAGATGTCGGCTGCCTTCTCGCCGATCATGAGAGCCGTGTTATTCGTGTTGGCACCAACATTCTCCGGTGGCACCGACAAGTCGGCGAGTTTCAAGCCTCTGATGCCGTAGACGCTCAGGGTGTTATCAACCACGCCACCTTGCTCTCTCGGTGCCTGGGTGCGAGTTAGTTGGTATTCCGCCATGAATCGAAATAAGCTCCTACCATTTTGCAAGTTCCAAGGCTGTGCCATGTGGTGGCTACTGTCTCCCTGACTTTCCTGGAGCGACAAGTTAGTTAAAGATGGTAGCAGAGGCGGAAAACAATCACTCACTGCTCGATGATCTTGTCATCCTCCTTAGTATACTGAATCTTGGGCGCATTGGCTGGTACCGGGCCGTCGGCGAATTCCACGATCGCAGCTTTCGAGTGCTTGGGAAAAGCGGGATGCGAGCCAGCTTCTTCACCTCGGTAGAGACTATAGATGGCAAGGTCAGCAGAGGTGTGCAGGGGTCGCAGCATAGCACCACCTACCTCATCCTTCGAGTCATCTCACGCTGTAGTTTGTACGACCAGATATGCTTCTGCACATCTACATCATCAGCATCCTTCAGATATCCGACATCGAAATCAATGGGATCCGAAATCTCTGGCCCAGTAATATGAATTGATCCTCTTGAGTAAGGGTAGGCGGTCCAGCATGCCATCGAGACATATTCTGCATCGTCAGGCAGGGTTGCGTAGTCTCCAAAGAAACTATTGTATAGTGCAATGATCATTAGTGGACGGTCTGGGGCGTTGCGAAAGTCCCGGTCCCAAGCTCTTCGAAATGCTGGGGAGAGGTCCTTCAAATCGGCTTCGGTCGGCCTGAACTTGCCACTGGCATCCATAGAGTTCCAGCCGAGCAATTCATCATGCTTGCGGATCGCTTCATGAACGTCAAAGCGACCATCGTTGAAGCTTGTAGACGGTCAGTGGCGAAATTTGGGCGATGTTCAATCACGCTACACCTACCCATTAATGGCCTCACGCGGACTCAGATCGGTACGGTATGCCCACAGTGATAGATGGTGATCTTGATACTGATCGCCGACGCCTCGCAGAGGCTGGATCAGTTGCACTCCGGCTCTCCTCAAGACATCGGGATTCCCGACGCCTGAGCGTTCGAGGATAAGTGGCGTAGCATTGGCGCCGGCAGACACGCAGACCATCTTGGAGGCACGAATTTTTCGTTTCGTATCATCGGTGCTGAATTTTGGATTGGGCTGGTACTCCACACCGCACGCTCGTCCACCTTCAATGAGTACTCTGACGACCTGGCTCCCAGTCAGCGCCTGTCAGTGTGCAATGAGAAGCTCACGAACATGAGTCTCTGTCAGGACGTGCAGGTTCGGGTACCCGCCACTCTGGAGCTTTGGATGCAAGAACCTGTGCGCAGCGTCCTGGCGACGTCCATCTGGTCCAACATATCTCAACCAGCGCTCGACCCCGTCGTTGGCATCCAAATTCTGCAGGTCCTTGAGCTCACGATATCCAAGCTTGGCTGCGGCTTCGATAAAGTCATTCTCTGCCCTCTTTGCAGTGAATGTGCCTTTGGAGATGTTGATCGGACCATCATATCCGTGATGCTCACGCTCACCGCGGCCATGATATGTCTCGAACTTTCTGAGATACGGGAAGAGATCATTTGCGGACCAGCCCGGCATATTCCATGAGTCAAAGTCACTGCGCTGCGCGCGCGTGTATACCATCCAATTGATACTCGATCTGGCGAGAAGAGTCAATGAGATAGCTGTGCGGAACAGTATAGATCTATTTACGTACCCGCCTCCGAGAGTGCCCCCAGATGGAACGACAGGCGCGCGATTACCTAGCTGGGGCGCGAAGTTGCCCTTCAAGACGTTTCAGCTGAACCGCTTACTCTTCAAGGAGTTGAGATATTCCGTACCTGCCAGAAAAGGGCCGTCTTGCTGTCCTCCTTCAAGTTCTGCGGGAACAGAGCCGGATACACTACTTCAGGAATGTTGTGATTGTTCATGCCCTGCTCAATAACCAGAATGGAGAGCTCTGGATCAGCCTCCGCGAGTCGGGAAGCAATGACACATCCTGCAGTGCCTCCTGGATGTCCAAGAGGTTAGTAGGCGTCAGTGGTGAACTTTGACTGACGAAACACTTGCCTCCGGCTACAATCACATCCACCTGGCGGATCTCCTCGGGAAGTTTGGTATAGATGCCCATATTGTCCTTGCTTGCTGTCTTTGTTCAACAAGAAGTCCCAGAGGGAGAAAAGAAGACATTTGAACGCAAGTCCGGGCATATATGTGTCGCACGGGAATACGGAGTAAGATGGCGGAGAACCTGGCAAATGTTTCCGGTATGCGGGTTTGGGAAATGCGTGTCACACAGGTGTATACCTTGAGGCTACCAAAGCATTGAAGTTCACACGCATCCCGGTCATTTGACCAAGCATAACAAGTTGCCGCGTGTTGTTCTCCAGGTAGCTTCGACAAGGCCTCAATCTTGAAGTCGATATGGCTTGAACCTGTAATTATTCCGTGCTGGCATTGTGCAGCTCTGGTTCATGATTTGAAAAGGCGATGCGGTTGATCTGACTTACTGTGCAACACCTGACAGTGACTGAGCGCGGGAATATCGCTCTCCTGTAGTACGCGATGGACTGATGACACTGGTCGTTGGGACTGATGTGACTGATTGTTGGCGCTGGCCGGTGGCGCTGGCCGTAGGCGAGCTGTGTCTACCCCAGGTCTCGAGGGTGTTTGAACCAGGTTCCCCACTTCAACTTGCATGTCAATCAGCTACGCAAGAGCTTCATCCCCGGCAACGCTGATGGACATTCAGGCAGATTGATATTGCTGGTGATTGAAGCTGCCTCCGTGGAACGCTCGGATCAGCTGATGACCATGCTAGAAGTTGCTATGAGATCGGTCTATAACTCAGAACGGTCTTGGTCAGATGCGGTAGAATCATCCTCATCCACAATCACCTCTCGCGCCTCCAGGTCATACCTGTCTCCTGACTTCAAGAAGTAAAAGCGAGCTTCCGTAGGAGGGAGAGTCTTCAATTCGGTGCCCTCGGAAGAGTAAAACTTGCCATCGTAGATCAAGGCATATGTGCTGCCGAGAACTTCCGCCTCGTTCTTGTGTACGACCAGCGCTGTGTCCTCATCAATGGAAATCCCTAGCAGCTCTGGGTGCACCTTCAAGATGTCAAACATGTCGAAATGCCTGTTTCGCACGAGCACGTGCTGATCCACGGCTGCGTTCTTCAGGTATCCAAAGCCCACCGTATGGTCACCAATCATAATTTGGTTGTTGGCTGTGTCTCCACGAGCAAGAAAGCTTGCCTGGATGCTGGCTCCTGCGCTCGATCCTGAGATGACTCCGCCTCGGTCCAGGACGGATTGGAAGGCCCTCTCAGCTTTTGTGCCAGCGTATGCGTCTACCAGGCGCCATTGTCTTCCTCCTCCAAAGTATATGCCATCTGCTTCGAGGAGTGGTGCCACGAACTCGTCGGTGTCGGCAACAGCGGGATCGTACGTGTGAAGCACAGTCTGCTACTGTGTTAGCTCCACCGCGAGGCCAACTGCGAGGTTACTCACCACATTGTTCGCTCCCAGTTCTCGGAGTGTGACAGCGCTCGCAAAGCTCTCGTTGTAGGACGGTTCGCCTCCTGCAGTGGGAATGACCACGATTGATGAATTCGGACCGCCAGCAAGTTCGATGATCTTCTGCCAGATGTTGTCGCTCTGGAGATTGCCTCCGACAATCACGAGATGGCCATTCTCAGGCCCTATAGTGTGATTCGCATGGCCGCTCGCGACGGGCGATGCAGTGACTGTGGCCGCGGCGCCAAAAAGCGTGTACAACGCGCGGAAGAGCATGTCGGAGAACGTGAGCACTTACCTGGAGGTCCGATGAGCCCTCGGAGCTGCTATGTAGGCCTTTGCAGGCGTACTGCCGCGCCATCGCGCCAAGTGCAAAGTAGATGGCATCATTGCGGATGCGCAGACGATGTGTGCAGGTCTTGCCTGAGCAGGAAGGTGGGAGCATTGGAGTCGCGCGCCGTGGACCGGGGCGGGGCTTGGCGGTAGCGATTCAAGTCCACTTCATCAGCATCGGCACTTCAGTCTATGTTGCGAGGCATCTCGAGAAGGGTGCAAGACATGCGGGCGTCGATAGAGATCTCTTCCAGGCCCTTGAAATATCGTTGCAGTGAATGATTGCTGCACAGCTCGGGGTAGCTGGTGCAGATTGCCCAAGGGCAGTAGGAAGGTGTATTCTGCATACGCAAGACCGGCCATGAGGAAAGCGCTTCATCACACTCGGGAGCTCAAGGCTGTTGACAAAGACGTGTTTTCTCGCGGGTGCTGCTGTACTCGGCGGAGAGGTCTGTCTCTTATCAGAAAGGGTGCAATCGTGCATCACGTCATCACAGCTGCCACTGGACATGGCAGAGTCCTTTCCATCTCACTCCACTGCTCGTGTGGGCATATGCCTCCACCAGCGGCTCGCACACCACGGGTGCACGGCGTACCTTCTCGTGCCTCTGCCAACAAGTTGCGCACGGAATCATTATCGGGCAAGTGAGACGGAACAAGACTCCAGCGCAGCTCCGCTCTGGACCTCGAGCATGAAGTCCCGCGAAAGTCCCACCGGTAGCCTATGCCTCCATCCACGCACTCGATATGGGAACATGGCGATCGCTTTATGTCGCCTATTGCAGCCTATTCTGGACAACGATGTTGCGATTCGGGCTGAGCCTCCAGAATAGCTGTGTCCAAGGATCCTACATCACCAGGCGAGCTTCGTGGCGTCCGATCCGCATCAGACCAACAGACCGCTGGTGCAGTACAATTCGCAGAGTATTGTATTCAGAGGATGACGTTCTCGAAGCGGTTGCCAGAAAATCGTGACGCCAATGTCTCACTTCTACCACAGTCAACCTCAAACACTTCCACATGGCCCAGCCCTCTGTACGAGCGTGCGAGCCGAAGGTGCTTTCTTCCCAAACGCCTGCTCTATGGGGCTGCTAGATCACTCACTGCCCGTCTAATCCAGCAGAAGCCCAGCTTTTGGAGCTATGTAGATGCTGCTGGTATGTGATTTTGCGTATAGATTGGTGAATGGTGTCAGTCAGGATCTGGAAGGATCCAGGAGCAGCCGCTTACCATCGCAGACATTGCTTACGACTTCAGAAACACGTCCGCACAAGTTGCCCGAACAGGAAACGATGGTCGACGAAGGATGGTGTGTCTCATCTGGGATCCGCATCTCGTGGTGTGAGTCTGGAATAGTCATGACTGGCGGACCTGATCGGGCCTCGATCCGCCGTATGTTCCTGACCAGCACACGCGAGGGAAGAGCATGTGTGAGACATGTGCCTGGCAGATCCCTGGCCTCGACGCAGGCACCAAAGTATGCGGTCCAGACCTTAACCCACTGGCTGGATTACTCTGTTCTTGCGTAAGACGAAGGATGTTTGCTTGGCCTGCGGGGGTATATTTGCAGTCGACCATCGCTGCGTGATCGTGCATAAGCGTTCTGCGAGACTGCGATCTTGCTGCTAAACGATTGCGGATCTCACATACAGCCATCGCGCTACGCCGCCATGCTCACAGACTACGAGGCTATCGGTCACGACGCCGATACGTTTGATCTTGCGGCCCAAATTGCAGGGGCGGACACTTTTGAATCAAGTCTGGAAGTGAATCTCGAAAAGGAGCCGCCCACATGGCGTCTAGACAAGAAGATGCGAATCCTGTGCCTTCATGGTATGCCCTTTCAAGTATGAATCTTTCAATTTTGTTGCTGATGTGTATTCGCACAGGCTTCGGACAAAGTGGCGACTTCTATCGCATGAAGATGAAACGCATTTCTCAGTATCTGGAGCAGAATCTTGACCCAGACCTACACGGTGATTACGCAGATGGTATAGAATGGATGTTTCCGGATGGGCCGATTGAGCTCACAACGGAGGCGCTACAGTCGGACATTCTGGAGATGCGTGCGTGGTGGACCAGGCTAGATTTCACGATCAGGCTTGACCAATTGTACAGCAGCCTGGACTACTTGACCAAGTATATCCGGGAGTATGGGCCATTTGATGGCGTCGTCGGGTTCAGCCAAGGAGCATCCATCGCCATGATGCTCACCGCACTCTGCGAAGGCAGTGTGAGACCGGAGCGAGTGACGGCGCTGGCGAATCAAGGACTTCCACTGCTTATACCACCACCGCAGACTCCTTTCAAATTCGCGATCGCATGCTCGGGATTCCGGAATGCACCCCAATTCTACGACGGCTTCTTCACACCAAAGATCAACACTCCTACAATGCACGTTATTGCCGATTGGGACCACATGGTATCGGCGCAGATGTCCGCCGATATGATTGCTGCCTGCGAAAACCCAGTCGTCATTCGACATGCAGGAACACATGCTCTACCAACCGACAGGAATAGCATGTGGGAAATGTCACAATTCTTCAACCGATCTTGCATTAAGGCGGCGCTTGCGGAGCGATCGCTGGCTGTAGAAGGCCTCCCGTTGAGACGAGCCTCGCTGATCACACAAGCGACATTGACAGTGACTGCTATAACCAATGTTGCATTGTCGGAGAGCGAGATGCCGCCATTGACGAATGCTTCTACATCGCCGAAGAGTTCCGGCCCACCGTCACCGGGGTCAAGTGTTTCTGGCGCGACCAACACTATAGGGAAACGGAGGAAGCGCCTACGATTCGCTCGTCGGATTACTATACGTAGGTATTGAGGGCCTTAAGTTGTCTCTGCTATGCGTGTCGGGAACGTTGCTTTTGAAGTACTATATCGAAGTTAGCGATCTTATATCTAGCATACTTGCAGCAATAATAGATTGCGGAGAGCGTTTATATATAAGTCGTAAGAGCTCGTCCGTAGTCGAAAGGTCGAAAGACTTAAATCGTATATAATAACGCCCTTTTATAGCTCTAGAATACTTCGGATTAGCAAAGATATCTCTACCTAACGAGTAGACTACGCGAGGGCTATAGAGAGGTAGAGTTATATTAGTAACTATATATTGCTCGATAATAGCCGAGATACTTTATATACGTATACGAATCTAGAAATATCTACGGTCTCTATAGATCCGAGCTAAGAAGTAATAAAGCGCTATAGAGAGGTTAATAAAGACTCGGGTCTATACTCGTTCTAGTAGAATATAATTAGAGACCTATATAGAAGGCGACTTAATTACTAGTAGTATCCTAAAAGATAGAATTAAAGAGTACGAGAGTAAGATACGACTAGTTTTATATACCTTTTAAATAGACGGCTTATTCTATAGTATTCTATAAAAAGAATAATATAAGCTCGAACGTATACTTCGCTAATACTAGTAGGCTACTATTTCTAGGATAATATTATTAAGAGCTCTAGCTCTACCGACGCTATTCGGAAATAGACCTACTTAGTAAGCACTTCTATCTCTAGCTAGATAGGACGAGTTATAGCTTAGTAGAGCAAAATAGATAGCTAGAAGGCGCTCTTATAGATAGCTC